TCCACGTTAGGAGCTTTAGGCTAGCCAGAAATCATTGACCTGGGCCCACAGGAATAACATCACCTCCACGTTAGGAGCTTTAGGCTAGCCAGAAATCATTGACCTGGGCCCACAGGAATAACATCACCTCCACGTTAGGAGCTTTAGGCTAGCCAGAAATCATTGACCTGGGCCCACAGGAATAACATCACCTCCACGTTAGGAGCTTTAGGCTAGCCAGAAATCATTGACCTGGGCCCACAGGAATAACATCACCTCCACGTTAGGAGCTTTAGGCTAGCCAGAAATCATTGACCTCGGCCCACAGGAATAACATCACCTCCACGTTAGGAGCTTTAGGCTAGCCAGAAATCATTGACCTGGGCCCACAGGAATAACATCACCTCCACGTTAGGAGCTTTAGGCTAGCCAGAAATCAACCGCCGGGTCGATACACAGGATTGGTGGGGAGGGGGTGGGGGATATCAACCTGCAACCAAGACATTTTTTTGGTGACCAGATTTACAGGGCAGAAGGTCAATCGAGTAATCGGAAAAGTGGGAGGGGGGGGGGGCGGAGGGAAGACAGAAGAACACGATAAGCTCAGTCGATTTTTTTGTATGGATAGACCACTGGTCAAGCAGGGAGGGGTGATTGTAATAAAGCCAGCGAGCTAGGTCAGACTTGTCCAAACAGGCCGTGATTTCGGGAGATGAGATCAGACGGACAGCTGGGATAGTGGGATCAATACTGAAGTGGGCGTGCCCTAAATCATAACATGATACACTCAAATATATAGTGCTTTGAAGTATTCTAATTTACAACCATAAATATAAGTGTAGTAGAAAAATTGAACATTTAAATAAAATAGAAGTAGTAAAATATTTATTGCCTGCAGTTTCTATCTACAAATATCTTGCACTTAGTGGGCAAACTTCAAAGCCCACTGTTTTCTAAGTTTAAGTTTACAGCAATATGTGAAAGGTTCTATAAGCCCACTAGTTACTTAATGGGCTTTGATATCTGGTTCCTAGGTTCAAGCCCACAAGTTACTTAATGGGCTTTGATATCTGGTTCCTAGGTTCAAGCCCACTAGTTACTTAATGGGCTTTGATATCTGGTTCCTATATTAAGGCCCACCATGACTTAGTGAACTTTGTGATATCTCCTATGTTAAGGCCCACCGTGACTTAGTGGACGGTGATATCTTGTTCCCAGGAAACCTGTCTGGGTCAGCCGAAACCCGACGGCAGATCGAAGCTCCTGCACAGCCAGATCCCTGGGAGATGGGGAGATCAAGCCCCGATACACGGGCTATTTTAGGCACGGCGGGGTCGAGGTCGGGCGGTGAGTTTCACATCGTAACGTGGAGCGGGGATGGTGAACAGGTCGACTAATACTGATAACATAATAATAGTGAAATGGGAGAGGTGTTTTATAAAGAGGAGTGAAGAAAAGGGGTATGCAGTTTTATATTGCGTGAAAAGTGACGGGGAGGGGTAAATGAAGGGGGGATAAGGTTTAAGGGGACCAAGATTTGTCTGCACGGGATGGTCTAATGGTGGCCATGAACAGTCCCACGCCTTTATAACATGGGTAAAACACGCGTGTACATCAATACAACACGCACATAGGATCACAGTAAACAATAGTACACCTATACCGCCAAAATCTTTTGTCTGGCCGAATGGAGACCAAAGCAGAACCCTCAAGTCTGGCCCAATAGATACTACAGTAAAGTTGAAATTTCATGTCTGACCCAATTGATACTACAACAAAGCTGAAATCTCATGTCTGACCCAATAGATACTACAACAAAGCTGAAATCTCATGTGTGAGCCAATTGAGACGACAGTAAAAATGAAACCTCATGTGGAGGGACCCCTACCCCTATTCTCAAGAAATCTCAAGGCCCATTGGTATGTTGTAAATCCCAGGAAGAAAACATCATAAACTACAACCAATGGCGTCTAAACTTCACGACTTCACGTTGTTAGGAAGAAAACATAAGCTACAATAAATGGCATCTAAACTTCACGATTTCAAGTTGTTGGCTAATGTGTCCGTTGTTTTATCTGGCACTCAACAGGCGTGTTTATAAACAAAACATCGTAGGACAATGTACCCTTATACACGTTTTTTTTTAAAGGGAAAACATTCAACAGAGAGGCCGTTATACACGGACTAGGGGAGTTAGTGTGGTCATTATTTGCAGCTTGCTGATCCCTTTCCCACGCTCACGATAAACAACTTTTTTTATATGCGCGGTGGTGAGCACTTTCATCAAGGAAATATTCACATGTTACATGAGCAAAAAAAAAACAACAACAGCAATGTTACATGTTGGAAATAAGACATTCAATGGTTCAAATTCCATATAAACATTACTAAGCCATGCTATATGGGACTACAAGATCATGAGGGCTAGGCATAGGACTATCGTTAGCGCCAGCAGAGTTTCTTCCAGGCATATCTTCGGGGGGTGGGGGGCGGGCGAAGAAAGTCTACCCCCTTCCCAACGAGATGGAATTTATATTTTATATAGTAAACATACACTTTTACTAGTCTGCCCCCCCCCCCCCCCGAAAAATGTTGACCGCCCCCTCCCCCTCCCCGTTAATATCAAGTGCCCCCCTCCCCGGCAGAAAAAGTCTGGAAGAAACACTGACGCCAGATTCTGGTTTGGGGCTGTATAAAGTATACCCTATTCGTACTTGGGCTCAGTTAAAAACATAGGTAGGCTATAGCTCAATGACGTGCGTCCTTTGTGCTATACTTTGAGTAGACTCAAGATGTCAACACTCTGGCAGCGCTAAGATAACATTGTTATGATGTTTGCCATTTTAATTTTCATTGCAATAAAAGTAAGACTTGCAGACAAGAATCCACATAACAACATAGCAATCTGTGAAAGTGCACTTCATTAATTTCCATCATAAAATCGTAACCTGAAGCGGAAGGATATATTTAAAGAGTATATTTTTAAGCTGCACCGCGAGCAGCTGTCAACCAAGATTTCTTTGTTAATGGTGGGGGTAGGGGGGGTGGACCCGCCTTTTCATTTTCTACAACACGAGGCCTATTGATGTAACAATATGTCGCGGCGATACAGGACCAAGGACCTCACCGGTAATTCAGCGCGTCTTGTCAAAGAGGGCTCAATACACTCGCGTGCAGCCTCGAGATGAAAGAAAGTATCGATTGGATAGGCCTGGGCCAATCAACTAAAGAACACGGGTCTAATGAATGAACTCTTGTCCTGTTGACAAACCCCAAACAAGGAAAAAAGTTGTCTCGGAAATTAATAATTGAAAACAAAACGACTGAAATCTTAATATTTAGAAATAAAAAACTTAAGCCTATGAGAACTTGACTTGCATAAATGTGGGGAAAAATAACTATGAAATGTATAGCTCCAAACTTAAAATACTAGTGCCAGTAAATATATTTCTTACAGGCCTATATAGTAGTATATTGCGTACTAACATGGTTTTTAACACCCTAAGAAATGTTTAAAGAGCAGATATGTAGATCTATGCATCTGGCCGTGTGTAAATGGCTTGCAGAAAGATTAACTCTCCGGTCACACAATGACAAGAGTGATCTCCCACTGTTCACCAAACTACCAGTTGTAGGGGAGGGCAGAGAGGGGGTAGAAATTGCATCGTGGAGGGTTTTTTTTATGTCTAATAGCGGGAAATGTCATGAATGACACATTGGGTTACAAGAAAGTAGTCCCACTACAGCATAGACTAGACATAATCATATGACGAATACTACTTAGCACTAGAAATAATCACAACCTTGAGGTATTTTAAAGGAGTTAATTAGTCAACATGAGGTGGGGGGCGCTTGAGGATCTAACTTAAAAATAGACTTATAATAGAACTTCTGTTAGGTAAAGAAAACAATAACAAAGCAAGATGATAGGGAGAGTGATGCTTAGACTCGCTAAGAAATACATATTTTAATTATAAGAGAGACTTGAAGAATCACTGCAGTTATACATGACCAACACATGCAATGCAAACACAAGAATAGAGTTCATAGTGCACAACACAGGTCATCAAGTATCAAAACATAAATGTAGTAATTTCATAATGAGGGATGTTCAATAGTTAATATATGTGTTCAGAGGTGTTTTATTTGAACATAAACCTGATTAAGCAAATGGTAAATGTTTCATACAGAATTCTTATTTAGAACATAACCGGTAGAGTAAACAAGAAATTGATTTAAATTATAACAAAACATGAGTGAAAGCAGTCAGGCAATTTTGTAAAATAAGTTAGCAAAAGTGCATATCAATAAAGTTTTAATGGGGATTTTTAACTATATGCATGTCTTAAAAATATTTATTTTTAAACATGAAAAACAAAATCATCCTATTTATAAAATGATTTTTATCAAGCTAGCAAGAAAAAAACAACCCTCTTTTTAAATCTATATTTAAAATAGTAAATTATAGCTTGTTTACATGTTGTAAAGGCATATCATTTAGGCTAAAAAAAAACTACAATGTCCTGATAGCTCTCTCATGAAAGCAAGCTTTTATTCCAGCCTGTCTGTAAACAATTTGCCAATTGTCATTTGTTTTAGCAGCAGCCTTGAGATTATTTTTAACAAAATGTGGAGGTTTTGAGATTTATGCATTATAGATATAAAAGGATAAAAGCTCTTAGAGTTTTGTAATAGGATGTTGTGCAAGTATTGAATTAACAATTATCTGGATGAATGAGGTGTAGTTTTCAATGTAATAAAATAAAAACAAATACACTTATTTTGTTTTCACTATGGAGACATTTTTTAACAGCAGTTTGTAAATAGTTGAGATATTTAAGTTACCTTAATGAATCACACATGAGGGAATATTTTTTAAAAGACGAAAGGGAGATAATCAAAATGGCATTGAAAAATTATTTAGTGCAGATTAATGTTATAAATTATAATTTAAAAAGATTTCACTGAATCTAATCTGAATTTTTACTATGTTAGTTTATTAACACTAATTAAGAAATTACCTGAAGATTTTCGGCGTACAACATACTCTTCAGTATCTGGTTACTCCTTCGTCTCACTGCCTGGTTCTCCATGACATTTTCTAAGAAGGTCAGGATATCCTTCAGCTTGGTGCCTGATGGTAAAATCTCTAATGCCTTAAAAAAAAATGGTAACGGTTTAAAGTTAAACAAGATATCCTTCAACTTGGTGCCTGATGGTAAAATCTCTAATGCCTTAAAAAAAGTAGCAACTTGCATATGATGGTTATTAGTTTAGTGCCTGATTGTAAAATCTAATACCTTAAAAAAGATAACAGTGTAAGGTTACAAAGAAAGAATTTTTCAATCTTATTATAATGAATAACTAATAAGATAAGAGCAGAGAGATTATATTTTTATCCAAATTCAAGCTAAACCACTCCAAAATCAATGATCATTATGAATAATTTACATAGCCTAAAAAAAAAGAAAAAACATAGTCTATAAGGCTGGATAACAGAACACTTAAAGAGGAAAGATGTGAGAAACTTAACACACAACACAAACATTGCAGAAAGTGGTGTAGCTGAAAACAACTTCTTCAGGTTTAAAAAAAATGTGCCAATTTATAGTAACATTTTAAACTAATCTTAATTAGAGTGCATATGTTAATTTAATTATAGATAATTATTTAAAGCTTCTTATTTATATTAAAATCTATTCATAAGAATGTAATAAAATCTTGACTCTAAACAAAAAATAGCAACACAGTCATTGATTTAATATCACAATTAGAGGAAAAAAAATTAAAACCATGAAATCATCCACAAAAAGATTATTACAATTATACACATTTTTAAAAACCCATAATATAGGCCTACATAAGAAAAATTAATTAATGATGGTCATAACCCACCTTTGCTGTGTCAATCTTAGTAGCATTCTCTGCTAACAAATTTAAGGCATTGTCTAGTTGTGTATGTTCAACTCTAGCATCAACTGTGTCTTCAATTGTTGGAGTTTTCAAGAACATTTTAAATAACAAATAGTAAACCTGCAAAAAGAAAACAAAATTTTAACAGGACTGTTTTTTAAATTTTAGAATAGTTTAAAAAAAATGTGAGGGCCCTAAAATGTACTTACATCTTTTTTCCCCTCTTTGTCCCTGTCGTAATTATTAGCACAATATCTGAAATTAAATCAAATGATATTGTGCTGATCATGGACAGATAGATATACATTGACTTAATGTTGTCATTACAGCTATACATGGGAGAATAAATGTTACCAAAAAACTGAAGACAATAAATGTTAGAATATCATAAACAGATACAATTAATAGGACCTCATTTTTTTACATGTATAAAATACTATGCCATAAATGAATGCAGAGAAATGAGCAAGTAGAGCAGATTAACATGGATGCTAGATGGATGATAAAGAGATAAGATTGTAGATGGTCTGTGAAAAAAATACTTAAAATTTGTGGTGAAGCTAGCTCCTTACCCAATATAACAGTCAAGCCTGGCTAATATAATAAGAACAATACTTTGTGGTAGTCTGTTGTTTTTTTTTGTAAAAAATATAAAAATAATAAAATTAAAAGCCTTAGCAATAGTTAAAACTATCTATTACAAGACTGGATGCTTACTCTTTAGCACGGCCTATATCTTTCAGTGTATGAATATAAATACTAAGAGCTTGTTCATGTCTGCCCAACCGACCTAACAAAATAGCTCTCTCTTCATGAAATCCTGAAAATATACCATTTCTAAATTTAATATTTTAAGGTAATAAAATTTCAAAGTAAGCTATTCAAAATTTTTTCTTTGTAACACCCAACTGTAAAATAAAATAGAAAAGAATCCCCTCTTTAAAAAGTTAATAAAGAGTTGCAATAGTTGTTAACTTCTTCTTCGTTCTTAATTATTAGTGTTGAAGGGGATCGAGATTTATCTGCCAGTGGGTTTGAACTCGAGACTGTTCGAATGTATCAACCATGAGCTTTTTGCCGACTCGACCACGCCTCCAACACAATTAAGCGTTACGTGTCAACTGGTTATGCGCCATTGAGGCCATTGACTCCGATTTTAGCCTGCTTTTCTTTTTGGATTTGCTTCCATAGCCTTTGTCCAACCAAGAACAAACTATAAGGCAGCAGTTGTTTAATTTTGGAGTTGTCTCTCCTAGAAGAGTGGCTGTCCCCAGCTAACGAGCCTCATCTACCCGAGGGTTCGAACCCGAGACTTTTCGGTTTAGCAACCATGAGCTTTACCGACTCGACCACGCTGACCCCAAGTTGTTAACAAAATATATAATTTAAAAAAAGGTTACCAACCATCAGTAGGGAAGCGTGTTAGCAATCTTTCTGGAATGTAAAACTGTGACTTATGTAGGAATGACACCAGTTTTTTCCTGTACTCTCCCAGCTCACCACGTTCATAGCCTATTTCATTGGGCCGATGACCTGTGAAACATTACTCATGTAGCTGAATTTGTATAGTTAAAAACTCCTGCAATCCAAACCAATTATGGTTTTAGGATGCCATTAGCCAAAAAAGCAGGTGACGTTTAAGCCTATCTGCCTTTACAAGAAGCTGGGTTGAACCACAGGTGACTATACAGGGAACTGTCCTGAAGACTTTCAGGTTAGTAGTCACATGCTCTACTGCTTAACAACACCATTTCACATTTAACACACTTATTTATTTGTTATGACATCCCTAATAAAAAAATTATTCTAGCACTTATTTAGCATTAAAAAAAGGGGGGGTTACTTTTTAAACAAGTCCACATTACATAAAACATGAAGTACCTTCAGGAAGAGAATGTATATGTACCTGTCTAAGTTTTTAAACAATTACATAAAACATGAAGTACCTTCAGGAAGAGAATGTATATGTTCCTGTCTAAGTTTTTAAACAATTACATAAAACATGAAGTACCTTCAGGAAGAGAATGTATATGTTCCTGTCTAAGTTTTTGCACTTTGTCCCTGTACGCATCAACCAGGCGATTATGGAATTCTTCCGTCTGGTCCTTGCGATCAATAATTATGTATTCCTGAGATTGGAGAACATTATGTAAAAAAAAACAAGTATAAGTTTAAAAAGATATAAAAATGCATTAATCATTTAGAAAAAATGTAATGTCATTAGATAAGATGGAGACTTCAACCTAGTAAACATGCTATACCCTTCAATAACCACAGTCCAGCTGGTTACAATGTTTGTATTAATTTTTAAGCAATTAAAATTGTATTTGTTTCATTTTACATAATTCTGAAGTGAGCAATGATACCTTTAATTAATTTGCAATTCTATTTATACTTTTATATATTACGATAGGTCTATAAGAATAGTTATTAGATAATTATAATATTTAAATTATGAAAATAATTTGATATTTTGAATAAAACTTACTAAATAAGGTATAGTTAAATCTTCACTTATTTTTTCTAAGTAGTCTAGAACCTGGTCCCTGGGAAGTGTTTCTATTTCTGGGAGATCTTCAGTAAAAATCTATGAAAATCAAGACAAATTTAGTTAAATAAAGAGTATAGTTAATCTGTTAGACAAATATGTTACAAAAATAGCCCCTTACCTTTAAACCATCCTCTGGAAACTGTTTTAAAACCCACTCAGCATATTCAAATATTAAATTTATATGTTCTTTACCTGTAAATAAAAAATTAGAGTATTTTTTAAAAATGAATAATGTGTTTTAAAATTTGACAAAAACTGTATTTCTAAGCAGAAAGATAAATGTTACTCTATTAATTTAGCTATATGTATATTGAAAGAAATATTTATAAATAGGTAATCTGCTTGTTTAAATTTTAAATTTTTTTCGTGCCATAAATCAGCATTCTTTAAATTGTTAACATTTTGGAAAATCTGTTTAAACAAATATGTTCATTTAAAGTATTTAGCTATTATATTAGCTATTTATATACTTAAAGAAATATTTATAAATAAGTAATCAGCTTGTTTAAAATTTAAAAAATAAAAAATTGTTGGTGCTGTTAATCAGCGTTCTTTTATTTGTATACAAATTACGTTCATTAAAAATATTTAGTTATAATAAAGTTTGAATACCTAAGTGTTGTAAATACTGTACTGTTCTTTCATGGCCTTTTAATGAGGACTCTGGTCTGGCTGCTTGTTTCATTAACAAACTTAAAGCTGAAACAATTAATATGAAACAATATTATGCTGTTTGTTAAGAGAACTATGCTATCTAACTTAGTAAAATGTAGTGTATTCCTGTGGGGTAATTTTTTTTTAAAATAGTTTTTTATTTTTTATTTTTACTTCCATAGAATACAACATACATTTACCAAAGTGTGTATTAGTAGACTTTAATATAATTAAATAATTATTTTATGACCTTTTTGATGTAATCCTTTTTTTTCATAGAGAATAATCAGCTCTGAAAATTTTTCCTTCTTTTTGAGAACTCTCTCACTCTCTTCAACATGGCAGTTGTTGTCTTTCAGCCTCAGCAGAGGAGCAACAAGGGCATCATTGGTCTGCATGAGGGAAACTATTACATTAGCTTTATGGCATCATTGGTCTGCATGAGGGAAACTATTACATTAGCTTTATGGCATCATTGGTCTGCATGAGGGAAACTATTACATTAGCTTTATGGTATCATTGGTCTACATGAGGGAAACTATTACATTAGCTTTATGGCATCGTTGGTCTGCATGAGGGAAACTATTACATTAGCTTTATAACAGATGATGACAAAGTTTAAAACCCACATTGTAACAAAATGCAATTTTAAAGATCATGAATTTAAAAAAAAAATCATACCCATTTAAACATAGTTGAAAAATAATTTTTTAAATCTGAAAACTACAAACTGAGATGAAAAATACCTGTAAATAGCATTTGAGTAATGTAGTATCAATAATTTGACTAAGTTGTTTCCTAGAGTTGATTGTCTTATTCCCTTCAACTATTGCAGTAGTGGACATTTCCTTATCCACATCTTTCATCAGCTCATTTCGTTTCTTAAGAAATACAATGAGTAAAAGCAATAAAACAAATTGTCATAAATATTGTTAGTAAAAGTTAATTTGTTAATTTATGAACACGATCATCATTACAAAAAATAAACATAGCAGTATTTTTAATACTTTAGAATAGCTATATAAAAAAATGTTCAAAAACTTTTCTTATACTTTAATAGACAACAAAATCATACCTGTGTTAAGTACTCTATAAGAGACATAATTCCCTTCTCATATTCTCCCCCTGTTACCTCAGGTACTTTCTCAGGATACTCAAGTTTTTTCCTATAATCTTCTGGTAGCAAATTTGGATATAGGCCAATTACATGCGATGGATCTGTAAGAAAAAAAAACGATATTAGATATTACAAATTAAAATGAGGCATATGATTGTAAACAATGCTCCAACAATGTCATCCAGGTGCTCTTTCAGTACACATAAAAAAAAAAAACAAGATTTGAATTGCCAACATGCTCCAGTAAAATACAGTATAAGTAACTTTTAAAACAGTTTTAGTGAACATATACAAAACATCGCTTTCTCAACTTCCTGGCAAGAAGTAACATGAAGAAAAAGGAAGCCCAAGCTGTTAGCAACTAATGTAGTAAATCAATACACACAGACCGTTACTGTATACACAGTAAAATTAGAGTATCAGATACCAGGTCTTCATAGTGACACAGATTTAATGCTGGCTGCAAACTATCTCACCCATAAATGAAATTTTTTTTAATCATCTCACCTGTTCCAAGCTTAGCAAATAAAGTTAATGATTCTTCAAAGCGTCTTTTACAGAATAAATCAAATGCATGAAGATTTTTTATGTTTCGTATTCTTGTTTCTTTTTTATTTTCTGGTTCTTCTGCTAGTTCCTATAAATTGTTTTTTTTTTAAATAAAGAGAAAATATTCAGCATATTTATAATATAAGGGAAGCTTTTAACATAAAAAGTTTAAAACTACCACTTAAAGATTTATAAAATAAAATATTTCACAAAAGCTTTTATTTCCTTTTAATATTTAAAAAAAAATAGAACTTACTGCCAACTTAAGTGCTAACTCAAATTCCTTAATTTGAAGAAGCTGCTGAATCTGCTGTGAGTTTGGTATTGCTGCTAGACGCCAGACTGTGTTCTGAGATGCCACGTAGATGGAGCCACTAGGTATAAGTATTTAAATTCTTTGAGTTTTATTTATTAATATAGCTTTCATTTGTTAACCTAACTAAAACATTATTCTAAAATAAAGTCATAGTCTGTAACCATGAGTCTTATATGACTATATAGAGTGTAATACAATTATAAAGTTTTTAAAAAAATAAAACTACTGATCTAAAAACTAACATTAAAACTATACAAACAATGGTACTTTAATAGACAAGATAAGATAATTTGAAATACAGTTTGTTTTTATGTAGATGCATGAGCCTTCCTCTTCCCCCCCACCTCCCCCCATTTTACAGTTAAAAATACCTTAAAAATAACAGTATAAAAATGTAGATAATCCATTACCTTCCTTGGCAGATGAGCCTAGCTTTTGGTAATGATATATTTTGTATCATGAGTTTAGGCTCAATGGTTCTCACTTCTACATATTTGGGTAGTATTGCAATCAGATAGGGTGGGATGTGTTCTGGTAAAATAAAATGCATAGATCTATAAAAATGTGGATTAAGCAAAGAATCACTGGATCCATAGTGTAATATAGTTTTTATAACTTTAAAATAAGCAGTGCTTTTACTAAACAACAACTCAAAATTAAAAAAAAAAAAAACAGAATAAGCTGACATTTCTTGTTAATTATCTCATTGAAATTCAAGACAGTTTTTTATCAGATGTTTATAACCCCTTCCAACACAACCTTAGGATTTTTGTCAAAAAAATTATTCCATGTGTGGAAAATGATGCTGTGGGTGTCCTGACATGGTACACCAAATTTCACCTCCATCAGTCAAGTATTATGACATGTGTACAAAAATGTACATGTGATAATAGAGTAAAATATGATTATATCAGTAACACCTTATTTTGTACATGCAATTCTGGAATGCTATTTACTAAGTACTAGAATGAAGTGTTTTATTTGAAGAATACACAATTCATAATCCATCTAAAAAAAATATTAAATAATTATTTTAAATTTTCAAATACTTCACCAAATTGAGGTCAACAGTTTTTTTAATCTCCGACTTGAATGTCGGAAATGTAAAGCAATAAAAGAATGAAACTTAGTACTTAAATTTTAGAAAAGAGGTGCCAGAATACAAATAGTGCAAAGCAATATTAAAATTGGTGTTTTTCATAGAAATTTTTGTTGTCAAATGTCTTGTGCACAAATTCGCCCACCGTGTCGGAAGGGGATAAAATCAATAAAGTCCTACCCATAGCAATTGGAATTTCTGACCAATTAATTGGTTCCTTCTGAGTAGGGTCACCATCAGAGTTGATTAAAATAGACATGGCATCTCTACCCAGAGCAAGGCGATTGTCATGAAGATGAGTGACTATTGGATCAGGCTGGCTTGAACCAACTGGAAAAAGTTCCTTTAAACCTCCTGTTTTAGACTGAATTGAAAGGCAATATTATTTTGTGATGATTAATTTTTCAATTCAAGCCAGTTTAAAAAGAAAAAAACATTTTTTTTTTTTTAAATAAGACACATACATGAGTTTTTTTTGTTGTTGAGAATTTTAACACAAGAACTTACATTTATAATGTAGTAGTCTCTTTTGAATCCCACACATAAAGAATCTTTGCACCATGTTAAAGCGTGTGGTATATCATACAAACTAAGATCTTGCTGAAATAAGATAAAAACTGCTTTACAAAACTACTAGATTATGTATAGTTACTTTCACATACAAATCTAACATGAATATTAAACAGTAAAAGAAATTAACAGAAACACAAATATGTATGTGTAAAATGTTTATTGACAACTTACCATTAACTCCACAAATTCCCTATTCTCCCATTTAAACAGCTAAAAAAATAATAAAAATTTAATATAATCATTTTTGAAAACACTTGATTGTCATAAAAAATAACTCTATAATAACTGTAATAATTATTAAAGACACAAATAAATATCCTTTCGATCTGAAGATAACAATATTATTAACTTTAAGCAATATGTTATGTACTATTCTTTTTTTCTAACACAATGAAATTTGTAAATAATACGAGTATCAGTAATTTAAACACTTATATCACATGAACATTTTTATACTTGAATTTTTCTTTTTAAGGCTACACCTAGTCTCAAAACATGGTCTACATCTCCAGATGTAGTTTCCTTTTTCTGGAAGTAGAAAAACAAAAATCTACTGCTTTTAATGTTTAAAAATATTAAACATATTTATTATCAAGTAACTTACTTTTGAAAAAAAATGATATATAAAAACTTTAGCATAATATATTAAATAAAAGAGAAGCAAACCTACCTGGACATCAATTGCAAATAAATTAGCACCTTTAGTTTTGTTGACACATGTGATTAATGTGAAAGTGGTCAAGTCATGAACGCTGATGACATTATCTGAAATTATCATTGTTTTATGCTATGTTCAACATACCAAAATCAACACATTTCAAGCTATAATTTATAGCAATAATTACAAAGCTTTTGTATGTTTTCTACTATAAACACTACTCTTACCTGATAAGCTTATGAGAATGTAAAGCTCTGGAACTGCTGCTAGCTGAGTTGAAAATAATAAGTAATCAGATATTTAGTCAATATAAACTACCAGTAATAAATATTTTAAAAAGTTATGCAAATTATTTTGAGAAGAAAAATTTTCAGCATTATGTTCAAAAGATAAGCTTTTGACCTTTTCACCTAAGGGCTGCTTTTCTCACCTGTCCTTCTTTAAACACCACTTACTAGCCACCATCCTATCATATAAGCAATCAGCCTATCCAACATTTTAATGAATAAAATGTTTTCAATCAATAAAATTAAAATCCCATACCTGAGTAATTGGTTTCTTGGAAAAAGATTTATTGGATCTGTCAAGTACTACTTCGAATTTGCTGTCACCTGCAAACACATTTAAATTACAACAAAGTAATTGACTTGTTAAAGTTAAAGAGAATAAAACCATTTTCTATTAAGAATTTGATGAATCAGAATAAAACTGATAACAGAAGAATAGTTTTAATTACCTCTCCCTTTGTTCTTTTGCACTTTGTAAAGCAGCAGTACCCCCTGCTTCGTGCCCACCAATAATGTTGATTCTGTAAATAGCACAGCAATGTAAATAACAGGGAGCCATTCTACTTTTTAAAGAATAGGTGAAAATTACCCTTTAAGCATAATTGTTTACCATAAATTGAAAATTTAGTGATATGCAAAACCAAATCTCTTGGAAGCGGTATCAAAATTTAATGGGAGTTTTCGGGTCATGTATTTACTCTGCAGACACTGACAACCCTAGTAAATCCCTAGCCCATCATACATTTTTTTTTAAAGTGTAATCTTGTTTTACTTTATTTAAATATCTGTCTCAATCAATCTGCTAGCAATCTTATTTATATATATAATTCTCTTCATGGGGACCATAGAAAACACCACGCAGCTTAGCCACCACCCTCATCCCCACCTGTCAGGTGAGCTGTGGTTCACCCCAATGTTTACAATAGTAGAGCCGGTTTGAATAAGTGACGACTATTAGGGGCAGATTATTTAGTTTTTAAAAGATTTGAAACTAAGGGGAGATAATAAGTTTTGCTTGATATTTTTATTGTCATCTGTAATGACTGCTTTCACTGGGCGGGGGTGGGGGAGGCAGGGGATGGGGTAGTGTCAAATTCACAAATTATGAATTGTTGATAAGTAGAAAATGAAACAACTAGATAGCGGCGTATGCTATGTCGCGGGTCAGCTCGTATATATATTATTCTCTAAGTGGGACCATGCGGGACACCATCACCACGTACGCCAGCCAATCCGCCCATCCCTCACTCTCCAGGCATGCGCAACAGACCATATCAATACCACCCCCACCCCTCTGGTGAGCTGTGGTTCACACAGAATGTTTACAATTATAGAGCCGGGTTGAATTAGTGAAGGCTATTAGGGGCAGATAATTTAGTTTTTAAACAATATGATACTAAGGGGAGGTAACAAGTTCTGCTTGATCTTCATTGTCGTAAGTAAACTGTCGTCACGGAAGGCTGCTTTCACAGGGGCAGGGGGAAACGGGAGGATGATCCTCCTTCACGAGCTACTGATAGTGTTTTAAAGCAAAGTTTTCAGTCGCAGCATTGGTAGTGTCAAATTCAGAAATTATGAATAACTGAAAAGTAGAAAATAAAACAACTAAACAGCGGCCTACGCTACAGGTCGACTTGCAGTTAATATTTTTATTAGCCTACTCACTACACTGTAATTAGTAATTCGAAGTGACTACTCGGAAGAAAATTTTTCTCCCCAACGTCTCCACTTAGTCGGCAAAAGATAGCTCTGCGCATGCGCAGTGACCTATGGCTAGGGTTAAAATGAGGATTAGGGGTAGGATAAGGGTTAGGGCTAGGGTTAGGATTAGGGCTAGGGTTAGGATTAGGGATAGGATTAGGGTTGGTGTTAGGATTCTGCGGTTGTAAACACACGCATGCGCAGTACCATCGAAAACATCGCCGCGAAGGCAAGTCATAGTTTCTCTCCATTGCGCATGTGTACCGCATGCATATCTTATTCTGGCTAGCATCGGCCTTAGTAATTAATTACTGTAGTGTAAAGTTAAGTAGTAAGACTTGATCTAGTAATTAAAAGTAGTAGGCCTAGGCCCTAGAATCCTAGATCTAACAAATTGTAGTAAAGTCGTCTAAGCCTGTAGATTACTGTAAAAGGTATAACAGTATTAGTAAGAAAAAGAAGTAAAGAGAAAGAATGATTCAGTAGAATGATTGAGATGTGTGTCGTAGAGTAGTATGTGATGGTTGAGTTTTGACTAGTTTTGAGTTGATAGACGATCTAACTAAGAATTTATTTTTACCAAAACAAGCAATCGATTCTATAACCAAAGGCAATTTTTCTAAAATAGGAGCAGGCTCAAATGCATCGTGAGGCATTTTTGTACATATCCGTTAGAATAATTGTAATAATTTATATAAATGAACACGGAGTTTTCAGATATCAGAATGTGTTTACTAGCAAACATCCATTCTAATTATAGTTCCTTTTCACATGACCTGTTTCCTTCCTAATTGTGAAGGTCCAAATTCCGAAATGTTACTGAGAAAAAAAAATGAACAAACACACATTTTATAGTCATCATTTAAAAAAAATAATTTCATGTTGGCTAAAGTTTACCTACTAATTTTAAATGTATCATAAACAGTTACTTAACACAATGTCAAAAATGATAATAAGTTTTAAAAATGGGCCTTCGCTAATACGTGTAATATTTTGATTTTTTTTGTAAATGGTTTCATAGCTTTTTATTTATCATTCCCCCCCCCCCCCCCCAATCAAACGCACAAGCACATTAGTCCATATTTAACAATTTAAGCAAGTGTGTTTTGTTTGTTTGTCACGTGAATGTAATGGTATGAAAAATTATCAGCATATTTTTTCTAATAGAAGCCATTTTAAACCTAGGTCTAGGCTTTAACTTGTGATTACAAGTACAGACTCACTATCATAACAAAGTTAAGATCAAACAAGCCGACTCTTTTTTCATACACCGCTATGCTAGTGGGCTGCAGCGCTAAAATGCGAACAGATTAGAACAAGTTTCTACGGCAACAGAAGCTGAAGTCTGCAAAATGGCGGACAAGACAGCGCCTGATTGCAGGCTACGCTTAGAGTGGGTTTATGGTTATCGAGGGCATCAGTGCAGAAATAATCTTTATTATACTGCAAACAAAAACATAGTTTATTTTGTTGCAGGAGTAGGTATAGTTTATAATGTTCGTGAGCATAAACAGAGATTCTTTCTCGGACACAACGATGACATCGTGAGGTTAGAAATTGTAGAATTTTTTTTAAAGAATCGATATTTTGTGTGCTGAGGACTTTATTATACGTTATTACTTTCTAGATCTAGAAATCTAGATTCTACTTTTAGTTATTAGATACTAGATCTCTAGATCTACTTACTACTTAGATCTAGTAATAATACGTATTACATAGTATTACAATACAAAAATACTTAAAAGTTTAACATTGACCCACCACCACAACCACTCTGTCTGTTTTGATTGTTTATAATATATTGATTATTACTAATTACCCCATAAACAATAAACTATATATTAATTTTGGCTTTTTGAAACTTTTATTATAGGCCTATGACCTAACCTATGATGTTATTTTTAATTTATTATATTTATATTTAATATCTTAATTAGTCTAAATTTAATTTGGTATCTTAAAATAGTTTGGCCCTGCATCCAGATAAAACAATGGTAGCTACTGGTCAAATTGGGGAACCTTGTTATATATGTGTTTGGGACTCAGCTACATTGGATACTGTTTCAATTCTGAAAGATGGGCATAAAGATGGCATTGCATCTATGAGTTTTGACAAATCAGGAAATGTGAGTTTCTGTTTTTAGTATTAAACTAAAATACTATGTGTTGAATCTTAACATTTTATGGTATGATTATTTGCTTTATCCATTTCATATTATCATTATTTGTATCTCAAATTAAATTTGAAAAAAAAAAAGAATTTCTATGCACATTATTTTTCGCTATATTTGATTACTTTGAAAGCCCCAACGTTGGCAAATATCTACTATGACAGTTAATGCTAATAACATTTTTATTTGCTATTATATTATAGGTTATTGTTTCTTTTGTTTTCCCAGAGACTTGTTTCAGTTGGGCTTGACAAAGCATCAACCATTGTTGTGTGGGAATGGCGTAAAGGAAAAATAATTGCAACCGTACCAACCCAGATAGAAAAGGCAGCTTATTAGATTTATTTATTTTATAATTACTGTTAAGAACATTAGTGACATTTGTTACAAATTAATGTAAAGAATAATGGCATAGTTATAGGCCTACTGAATTTCATAAAAGAGACTTTAATAATTTTTAAACATTGTTTTCAGATATTTGATATTCAGTTTAACCCATTCAAAGACAACACAATAGTGTCTGCTGGTGTTAAGCATATTGTTTTTTGGACAATATGTGGCAATGCTTTAACCCCTGCTAAAGCTGTATTTGGCAAAGCTGGTGAAATTCAAACAATGCTCTCCCTTGCTTTCGGACCAGAAAATGCAACATATTCTGCAACTTTGAGTGGCGATCTTTATGTGTGGAAAGAAAATAACCTTGATAGGATCATTTCAGCAGCTCACAATGTAAGTTATTTTCCTGAATTTAGAATTTATAAAAATTGTTATGTTCTAGGCTATGTGAAGGATGAATTTTAAATATTGTCGCACTAAAAATGAACTTGTGTTTTTTTTTTTTCAGGGGCCAATTTATACGCTAGATATGACTGGTGAAGGCTTTGCAACTGGTGGCAAAGATGGAAATGTTAAACTATGGGACATGGAATTCAAACCAATTACAACTATAAATATTGCCAATTCTAGTGTTGGATACTCAGGTTTGTGATATTCTTTCAGCATTTAAGGCATTAAAATAATATCTAGATTGAAGTCACTTTGAATACAAGATACACATTTTATTTTTAATAATAATTTCATATTTGGAAATAAAAGCTTTGAGGCATTTGAAAAAAAAAGTATAATGGTCTGCAATTCTATTTTATGTATAACCAGCAGCCTCTCTTTGATTTCTCAGGAACTCCTAATACTGGTAACTATATCCTCCATTAGCATGTTATTTACATGGAATGGCATATAGTATGTGGCAGTTGTTATGAACATGCTGTTGTTTTTTTTCAGAAACCTTTGACATTTTTTTTTAAACCATAGGATAAACTATATATGTTATTTCTAAATAGCTTACTTTTGATTTTTTTTTTTTGTTACGTTATTCGGTGTTCTTATTGTTAGTTAGATGAAAGGGTTTTGAAATTATTTTTCCCATTGCAAATTGTGGCTATGATGGACAAAAGCCATAAATTCAATTAATAAAATCTGTATATATAAAAATATGCACCTTAAAGCATGTTTATTTAACATTAAGGTTTATATAAATAATAAATTTTATAGATGAAAAATGTTCTACAAACATCAACTATTTTCACACTATAATGCATCAACCACAATAAAAACAGTGAATGGACTCAGTATTGTAAAAAAAATGTTACTGTTGGTTATTGATGTAGAATTAAATTATTTTATTACTGGCTTCCATATTGTGAAGAGTTGAATGGAATTTAGTGAAGCTAAATAAGATAAAAGTTGCCAAGCAATTAAATATCTTCTAACTGCAAACACTAAAACAGTGTTGTATAGGTCACATGTTTAAATGTAGGAAATTTAATTATCAAACAGTATCCATTTACTATTCAGTCCTTATGGTGCAATATATTTTTCACTGTGTAATTAATGTGTTTAGACTTGTTTTTGTTTTACTCTTCAAATCATGATTTTTTTTGTTGAAGTACTAGATTTAGTAGTGGAGTGATAGGTAATTAATACTGATAGATACATGCATGCAATCTTTGTCATAGATGTAACTTTTTTAAATTAATACTTTACTTATAACAGAAAAAAAAATTTAAAATGTTTAATTTTCTTTGAAAATTAGTGTAGTTTTTGCTTATCTTTAATAAGTTCCTATTTTTTTAAACTATTTATAACACTCTGTATGTAAAGCCTACCCTTTATCTCAAAATGTCATAAAATATATTTACAACAAATTCCTGGATTAAATATATTGGTAAAATTAATACATTTGACCAAAGTTCTTCTGGCAAGAAACAATATAAATGTAGGCATAGTTTCAAGTAAATTTGTATAGAAATGAAATTGTCTGAAAGTACACATTTCATCTCATGACTACTTTAGTGAGGAAAAAACATTTTACTAATTACATTTTTTTTTTCAAATATTGTACCCATTAAATACAGTCCTTTTAGAAAAAAGGTTGCTTAATTAAGATAAGCATTCTGAATGAATTAAAGTTTGTTCATAACTACCACAGTTATTAAACATTTTATGTCCTGCCACCATGCATAATAGATCTACATTCACAATAGCATTGCTGTGTTACCGATAAAATTCCCTGTGTTAATGTTTTCTTTAGGACTTGTCATTCGAGCAGTTTGTTGGCGAGGGGATCAACTCCTCATTGGGACACAGGATGGAGAAATATTTGAAGTGCTGGTCAAGAACAAAGACAAACCAAAATGTCTGGTACAAGGCCATGCTGAGGGGGAGATGTGGGCTTTGGCTGTCCACCCCAAAAAGCCTATTTTTGTCACAGGCAGTGATGACCAAACAATAAGGTACTGCATAATTTTATGTTAATTTAAATATTTCTAAAAGGATATCTACTTTGAATTTTTGTAAATTGTTCAATAAAAACAAACTGAAAAGCATGACTCTGGCAAATTGCTGCAATTACCTTTAGAATTCAAAACTTGTATCATTTTTTACTTACTGGGATTTTGTTTAAATCGTACATGCATAATATGTTTCTACTAATTTTCATTTAATCTTTTGTCACAACAACAAGTGTTGCATTTATCTAATTTAATACTTCATGTATTAAAAATTCAAGCTGTACCTGTATAATCTGATTTTTATCAACTAGGATGTGGAACATGTCCAATTTTGAACTCCTTTCAAAATGTGCTCTCGATCAAAAGGTACGGTCCTGTGCTTTTGATCCTGAAGGTCAAAATATAGCAGTTGGATTAACTGATGGCTCATTTACAGTTTTGCGGGCCAGGTAAAATTAATTGCGTGTTTAACTTTATTTATTATTTGACAGCAAGCAAGATCTTAAATAAACTTAAATAATCTCCATCAAATTTAGAAAAGTTAACACATTTATAAATATTAAAATCTGTACATACAAGTATTTTCTGTTTTAAATGGCAATTGTTTAGTTTTTACCAGATAAAAATGGTACAATTTCAGTAGTGGTTGTAATCCTTGATTTCTAACTGTAGTTTGCTACTCATCCAACAAATTTCTTTCATTTTGTCAGAGACTTGTCTGAGCTGATTCACATCAAAGACCGTAAAGAAGTCTGTCATGAAGTCAAATATTCTCCCTGCGGCAAATTTTTAGCTGTCGGCTCCAATGATGGATTTGTCGATATTTACGCTGTAGACCAAAGGTACAAGCGGCTGGGTACTTGTGCTGGCAGTAGCAGTTTTATCACACATTTAGACTGGTCTCAGGATAGCAAATATATTCAGGTCAACAGTGGAAAAGGAGAGAGAATCATCTTTAAAATACCCAGTATGTAGAACTTTCATGAATGTTTCATTTTTATAAGTATTTTAAAAATAAGTATTAGAACTTTAATGAGCTTTAAAATACCAGCTGTTTACCTCATGGCTCATCTTAAAAATACCAAGTATATATATATAATTTAACATCCAATTATATTACAAAGAAGTATACAATCCTTTGTCAGCATTTAAACAAGTAACCAATGAAGAAGAATTGACAAGCATTCACTGGGCTACTTTCACTGGAGTTATTGGACCTGAGGTGAATGGGATTTGGGGCAAGTACACAGACACCAATGATGTCAATGCAGCAGATGCAAATTTTGATGGTGGTGTTCTTGCTACAGGAGATGATTTTGGATTAGTTAAAGTGTTTAAATTCCCTTCACTTAAAAAAGGTAAAATTGTAACAAAAATCTAATCTTTAAAATATTTATATTCAATGATATTCAAATGTATTAAAATTTGTAAAGTATATATACAAACAGCCCTTTAGCTAAGTTATTATGTAATTTAAAAAATTTCAATGCAAACTAAATGGTTTCTTAACATTATTTTTTTTTTCAAAATCAACTTCATTTTCTTTCAGGGGCAAAGTTTCGCAAGTATGTTGGTCACAGTGCACATGTAACTAATGTCAGGTTTTCTAATGACCGCCACAAGCTAATCTCAACCGGTGGTGCTGACCATGCAGTTTTTCAGTGGAGATTTTTATCCCAGGGAGAAGGAGATGATGATTTGCCTGATCACAACAATGGTAGCAACTTGCTATATTATTGTGTCAAAAACACATTAATCTTAATGTGTTGTTTTTGTTTTTAGTGATTTATTATTTAAAAAGTGATATTTAAAGAAAAAAAGTAGCTTTATTTCTGTTTATGCTATTTTGTAAATACACTGAAATCTTGACTTTTTAATTCTGCAAGTAATAGATACTTAACTAGAAAACATCAAAGTCAAGGCTAGAGATTATATAGTAAAAGTAATAAATCAATTCATTCCAAAGCTTATGCAGACTCAAATAGTGAAGACAGTGACTCAGATCTCTCGGATGTTGGGTCCATCGACTCTGATGTGGAAAGGGAAAAGCAAGTTGAATACAACAGGGCTGTCTATAAAGAAGACATTACCAACCAGAAAAAACTGGTCAAAACATCTCTGCCACCAGGAGCTAAAAGAAAAAATGGTCCAAAAGAGAGTCTAAAACTAGAGTTTATTCATGGGTGAGAGAGCTATCCATTTTATTTTAGAATAATTTTTTTACAGCCTTAAACTATTAGCTTATTCTTTAAAAAGACTTATAAGCTTGAGTATGAAATCTGAACAGAATATAAATTGAAAGTAAAATAGTAAATTTGGGAATAAAGATTTTTTTTGTCACTATACTAATTTATTTGTTAGCTTTTCTGTTGTAATAAAGTACTGAGTTTGCATTTTTTTTTTAGATACCGAGGCTATGACTGTCGTAACAACCTGTTCTATACTCAGACAGGGGAGGTAGTATACCATGTAGCTGCTACAGGAATTGTTTACAACAGGGAGACAAACAAACAAAGGTTCTACACTGAGCACACTGATGACATTTTGTGCCTATGTATTCACCCAATCAAGGACATTGTTGCCACTGGTCAGGTAAATAATTTCTAGATGCAATACTTGGTCATTTACATACCTGTAATTGGCAGTAAACTATGTTAAAAATATAGTATGTCAGAAAATACTAATATGTATGCTAATTATTATTTATAATAAATCTTCAAAGTCAAACGCATTCAATTCATAATCTGTAAATATAACTGTTGAGGTTCTGCTATTTGAAGAATCAGCAAATTTTTGCCTTGGAACTGCAATAGAAAAGATATTTGACAAAATGTTGTTTTAAAATTTTTTTGCAGGTAGGACGTGACCCTACCATTCACATTTGGGATACTGAAACTCTTAAGACAGGTTCTATCCTCAAAGGGCAGCATCAAAGGGGAGTATGTGCTATTGATTTCTCAGGTATTGAAATGTAACATTTGTAAATACTTTTAAAAGAAGCTGCTTGAGATATCAAATTGACGGCTTATTTTTTTTCTTTTGTGTAGTACATTATGAAAAACTTTTTTTAAAAATGTTAACATACTTTTATGTGGATATTGACATTTAGAAACCTTACTTTGTTTTTTTAGTTGATGGCCTGAAGCTGGCCTCAGTTGGCCTTGATGATAACCATTCTATTGTTGTGTGGGACTGGAAGAAAGGAGAAAAGCTGGCAACAACAAGGTTTGTTTTAAAAAAACTTTTTTTTAATAAAATATTTAACTTTTTGTCAGCAAATAATACAGTGGAAGAAGAAAGCCACCAAATACTTAAGTTGGTGGGCCAGTGTATCAGTTAATTGGCGGTTTATAATTTAAATTCTAAAAATGATATTTCAGTGTTCTTTAAAACAAATACTCTTACTGAGGGAAAAAAATGGTTAACTATACAATGACATGATTATTAAACGCAAATAATTAATTTTAATTTCTCTTATATTTCATTTTACCTAGAGGTCACAAAGATAAAATTTTTGTCATCAAATGGAATCCATTTGACCACAGCAAATTGGTTACTGTAGGAACCAAACACATCAAATTTTGGGTTCAGACAGGTAGCATTTTTACTACTATTTTTTATTTGTATTTCTTATTAACAGAAAACCTATCCAATTACTAATGAGGCAGTGTAATTATAGTTATTAATGGTCAATGTAATCTGATGTGTGCAGGAGGTGGTTTCACATCCAACAGAGGGACAATGGGCCAGGTTGCCAAACTGTGTGACATGATGTGTGTGGCCTATGGTAAGACAGCAGACGTCTGTTTTTCTGGTGGTAGTGATGGTCAGATTTTTGTCTGGCAAGGCATCACCTTACAGAAAACAGTCAAGGCACATGAAGGGCCAGTTTTTGCAATGCATTCCCTGGACAAGGTAGAAATATTTTGAAAACCTTATTTAAATAACCAAAAAAATTTCATAATTCTAGCTTTAATCCTACCATTCACATCACCAAGCCTGCATTATTTTACATAACAACTACTAGAATTAAATAAAATATACTTTGACTTACATACAAAATACCAAAGAAAAATGAACCAACAAAATGGTATTTGGTATTCCCTTTATTATTCCTTTTACAACATGAATATTAAAAAAAAACCCCACTATTTGTACATTTTGGCCTGTAAAATTAGCTTTATTTATATATTTCTAGGGTTTTGTGACTGGAGGTAAAGATGGCATAGTGGGACTTTGGGATGACCAGTTTGACCGCTGCCTAAAGACGTATGCCATTAAACGGGCATCATTCACTGCAGCCTCCAGTGGCATACTGATCCAAGAATCCCCAGCAGTGAGAGCTATTGTGTTGGGCCATGGTAAAATTTTGGTTGGATCTAGGAATGGCGAAGTACTTGAGATTGACAAGGCTGGGCCCATGACACTTTTAGCACAGGTATTTTCTATTTACAAGCAATGTTTAAATTAGCTTATGAAAGCAGTTTCTTATTTTTAAAAAGTAACCTAATATATTAAATTAAGTTAAAAATTCCTACACAAATATTCAGCAGTAGTTTTGTGACTAGCTTAATCTGTGTAAAAAAAATTGTTTAGACCTACCTAGATGTCCTTTTACTGAAAGAAGAATCTAAAATATTCTTTAAGAGTTCTAATATATTATTAATTTATTTAACTTTTGTCTTATAATATATTAATACATTTTTTAAAATAATGATCAGGGACACATGGAAGGTGAAGTCTGGGGTCTGGGCGTACATCCAAGTAAACCACAATTTGCAACTGTTAGCGATGATAAAACGCTGAGAATCTGGGACTATAGCCAGGGTAACAAGATGGTTAACTTTAAGGAGTTGAAACAGGCAGCACGCTGTGTGGCATATTCCCCTGATGGTCGTGCTCTGGCTATTGGACAAAAAGATGGTATGACATCTTGCATGTAATTTTGACAAACTACCTTGCCACTATTAGCAAACTCACGTAATTTGATTTTCTAATAAATTGTTTTTAGGTAGTTTTGTTGTGGTGAATACTGAAACTATGGAAGAGATCATAACACAGCATCACAGAAAAGAGGAAATATGTGACATTAGATTCTCACCTGGTAAAAAAACACATTTTTCAATGATTTAAACTGATAACATTACCAACTATTTTACATAGTTGTCTCAAAAAATTAACAAAATAAAAATCCTGTTTTGCAAGTTTAATTTATAAATATTTTTCAATGTATAAAATAGCTTTTTGATGCATCAAAATAGGCCTACTTGTCATTGTATGTTTTCTTTTTTAGATCCTGGAAAATATTTGGCAGTTGCTTCCCATGACAATTTTGTAGACATATACAGTGTTCTCAAGACTACAAGAGTAGGAACATGCAAAGGGGCATCAAGCTACATAACTCATATTGACTGGGATTTAAGAGGTGAAAAAGTAACATAAAACTAATATTTTATATAACAAATGGGCCTACATGTCATGATTTAAGTTTTTTTGAATTTTATAATCTTTACTAAATTTTGGTAGTTACAACTAAAGCTACCTACTCATAGAACATAAAATAAAAATTGCTTATTATCCTAAAAACTCACCTGTTTATTTTGTCATTAGGAAAAGTTTTAATGGTGAATACCGGTGCTAGAGAAGTGCTATTTTTTGAGGCACCCAGAGGGAAAAGAATCACTCTTCGCAATGCAGAGATTGAAAAGTTTGGATGGGCTAGTTGGTCTTGTGTGCTAGGTCCAACATGTGAAGGTATCTGGCCACCAAAGTGTGATGTGACTGATGTCAATGCTGCCTCACTGGTGAATGGGAACCTTCTCGCCACTGCTGATGACTTCGGTTTTGTGAAGTTATTTGAATACCCAGTTACGGTGAGCTGAAGAAAATTATATATTATTATCATAAAACCATAACATTAAAATAGTTAAATGTATAATCAAAATTAAAAGTTTATTTATAGAATTACAAAGAATCTGTTTTATTTATTTTTTTAAATTATATTTCCTCAGGGTAAGTTTGCCAAATTTAAAAAATATTCTGGTCATAGTGCCCATGTCACTAATGTCCAGTGGACATTTGATAAGCAGAAACTGGTTTCCCTGGGTGGGGCTGATACTGCTGTCATGGTTTGGAAAAGGGAAGGTAATCAAGCTGAACAAGGGCAAAGTGATGATTCTGACACCGATGATGAAGAAGAAGGTATGTTCTATAATTTCCATTTTTTATGTTCACAAAATTTTTATCTTTTATTATAGAAATTGACAATATATTTTTTGTGTGAGAAAAATGAGTCTAAAATTTATTTTTCCTTTGTTGCAATGGTTCAGGCTATGACAGTGATGTGGCAAGAGAGAAAAACATTGATTACACGACTAAAATTTATATCAACCCAGTCAGGGAAAAATCTGGTATCAAGCCCCATCTGCAAGAAGAAAAAGAAGAAATAAAGTAAATAATGTTCGAGTCTTCATTTGTTTAAATAAGTCGCCTGTTAGTTTCAGCAAAGTATTTACACCAACTTTAATTAAATTAATAATTATATCTATAGTTTTTACTTACCTGCTGGTTTAACTTTACTATTAACTGTTTATTAACTCTTACTTTAAAACAATTGATTGCTCAAGTTTGATCTAATTCAACTTTCCAGGCCACCAGTGAGTCGCAGTGGTCCTGAACCACCAAAAGTTCAACGCCCTGAACCTCCAGCCACAGCTGGTGGTAAAAAGAGAAAAATTACTCAAGTCACGGTAAATATTTTCAAAACTTATTTGCCCAAATATTTAAGACCAAAAAATTTAATATTCAGCATAATGTATCATAATGTAAAATATTATTTTTAAATAATTGTTCAAATTTGAACAAAAAAATGCAAATTTTTGTTCAAGAACTATAAATGCAAAGTTTTAAATTTTGTCTAAAGTTTTGTCTTTGTTGATTTCAGGACCTCCAGCTAGAGTATATACATGGGTACAGAGGATTTGATGCAAGAAGCAATCTGTTTTATGTCAACGATGGGGCAGACATTGTACTTCATGCAGCAGGAGCTGGCATTGTTCAGAATCTTGCCTCTGGTAATAGAACATTAATGTCTCTATATTGAGATGTTTAATATATTCATGTATCTACAGCATTAAGTCCTCTTTAAAATAACATCCTTGTTAATTTAATGTCCAAATTTTGTTTTAGGTAGCCAAAGTTTTTATTTGAAGCACACAGATGATATAATTTGCCTTGATGTTAACCAGCATCCCAAGATGAAGAATGTGATTGCTACTGGCCAGATTGGAACCAACCCATCTGTTCATGTATGGGACTCTGTGACTAAAGAAACTCTCTCTATAATACAGGGGAATCACTCTAAAGGAATTTGCTCAGTTGACTTTTCTTGTACAGGAAAGAACTTAGTCACCGTGGGACTTGAAGATGAGCACAACATAGTGATATGGAGGTGGCAAGATGGTATGTTTTTTGTTGAGAAGTATCAAATAGTTTCACAAAATGACACAAAGTTTAATATTGTAAAAAATTCCGGTTGTATTTTTAGGTACTAAAATAGCATCAGCTCCTGGTCATAGTCAAAGAATATTCCGTGCTGAGTTTAGGCCAGATTCTGACACCCAGCTGGTGAGTGTTGGGGTCAAGCATGTCAAGTTTTGGTCAGTAGCTGGCAGTGAGCTTGTTGGGAAGCGAGGAATCCTTGCTGGCACAGATACTGTGGGCCAAGCTAAAATGCAAACAATGCTGTCACTAGCTTTTGGAGCTGTAAGTGATTTTTACAATGTATTAACTGGTTTACGCATGTATCTTTTTAATCTGATATTTATTTTTTTAAACATATTTAAAACTGTTTTTTTTAAAATTACATTAGAATATGGAAAATTCCAAGTCAGTTATTGACATGCATGCATGTTATTTTCCACTTATAATTCAAATAATTTCAAAATCCAATTCAAATCATTAAATTTAGAATAACTATTACTTTTTAGTATTATAGTCAATGGAAAATTTTTATCAGACTTAATGTATTTCAAAACATAATAATTATTTACTAGTCTGAAAGTGCTTGTTTTTTCTCTGAAGAATAATGTTACCTACACTGGAGCCATGAGTGGAGACGTCTATGTTTGGCAAGAATCTACACTAGCCAGGGTTGTCCAAAAGGCCCATTCTGGTCCAGTTTTTACCATGTTCACGACATTACGAGATGGACTTATAGTGACTGGTGGAAAAGAGATGCCGTAGGACTTTAATCATCTTAGTATTTTTACAATACCTTTAAATCAAGATTGTTTTAATCTAAAGAAATGATGTGAACCACTATCATAAGAATAGAATGTTTTATTTATAGAATGATTGTTACATTTTATTTAAACATTACAGAGCAAAGGATAATGGACCAGTGAAGCTTTGGGATCAAGAAATGAAAAGATGCAAGGCTTTTCCTTTAAAAGAAACAGGAAACAAGGCAGATGTTGTTAAAGCTGTTTGCCGCGCTAAAGTAAATTTTATTGTTTAGCTAAATACTCTCACAATGAAATTAATTTTACTGGAAAATAAAAAAAGTCATTTAATGTGCTCACAGTTATACATGTTTAAATAATATATTAATAAAACATTTAACACAAATGTTCTTTATTTCTAGTTTTGCTTCTGAAAAACTTTACTGTTATATTTACTATTACTAGGGCAAAATTCTTGTTGGAACAAAAGACAACTGTATCATAGAAATAACAGAAAAAACTGGAGCAGTGCAGGTTATTTTGGCAGGGCATGGTGAAGGTGAAGTGTGGGGGCTGGACAGACATCCTACAGCCTCAAAATTTATCACAGCCAGCTATGATGGTACCGTCAGACTTTGGGATATTACTTCTAAAGTAAGTTAAACTTATAATAAAATAAAAAATGCATTTATAGATATGCACATGTGCTAATAACATTTTCAAAGTGTATATCATAATTGTACATGTAAAAGGAAAAAATATAGGCCTACATGATTTTTATTTTTTAAATATTATTTTGTGTGAGCAGTCTCTTGTGGCCAAACTAGATGTAACGGCAGCAAAGTCAGTAGCTTTCAGTCCTGATGGGGAGCTGATAGCTGTTGGACTCAAGACCGGAGAATTTTTGGTTCTTTCAACTACTGGATTAAAGTTGTGGGGCAGGAAAAGAGACAGGGCAGGCTCCATCAATGATATAAGGTTCGCTTTTTTCAGTTATAAGAATAAGATGTTTTTATATTGTGCAAAAGATATTTGTTGTTAAACAAAAAAGAAAAATTCTATTTTAAAATGGACTATATATCTTATGGTACAAAATTGTTTTTATTTGTTTGATTCTATTGATGTTGCTGTTAGTGTTAGGGTCAGTAGTCCTACTAAGTCAGTGTAAGGGTTATGTAAGTTCTAGCCAAAATAATACTTACTATTAATAATTGCGATTTAGTTGTTTTATTAAATACTTAATCTATTTTAGACCATTATGTTATAAATGTACGTACCCACTTGCATTTTGTTCCAACAGCTGTAACATGATTGTTTGTTTTTGCTCCAGGTTTAGCCCTAATTCAAAGATACTTGCTGTTGGTTCAGATGACAATTATGTGGATTTTTATGACCTCACTCAAGGCCAAGCCTTAAACCGTGCTGGCTTCTGCTCAGGGATATCAAGCTTTATCATTAACCTTGACTTCTCAGCAGACAGTAGCTATATAAGGGTAGGTCACTCATGAGTTACTAAATTTTTTTTATGTGAGATGCTAGTTAAAAAATATTTTTAAAAAAGTAAATCAAGAGAATATATTAGTCCAATCTAAAAAAAAGATTTATTCTACATTTATCACTAATATTATTAGAGGTTGTATTGTAAGAATCATCAACCTTATTTTCACATATTAGACTATTTTAAACAGTTGAAATTCAAAAAACAAAATTATAGATTTTAGTGTTCGTTGGATAATTCAGGCATTGATAACATATTTTTTATTTAAATTTATTTTTGTAAACTTTTCTATTTTAGTTCACCAAAATTATTTACATCAAAAAAATTCTTAAAATCACTAGGTGTGCACTGGAGCCTATGTTAACCAGGTGTACAAAGTTCCTGGTGGTGGTTTGGTAGAAGATGAATCAATCACAGAAAAAATTACTTGGGCCTCATGGACAAGGTATTTTTATGTTTATATGTTGTGCGGTATAGGGCACAATTTGATATATCAACAATTATCATTATATATTTTGTTGAAAAATATCAAGAACCTGAATTATTTTTTATTCCCTTATTATCATATCCTGTTTGTTTTAATGTAAAGATTTGCAATGTTTACTTAAGTCTAAACCAATATTATAAGTAATCTTTAAAATATGTTCTTCTTGGGTTTCCTGTTGAAGGTGTGTATTTTAATTCTTTAGAATCAGCTGTCAGAAATATGTACATTTATTACCATAAGCAATCGGATCATATTTAATTATTGACTATTTATAACCCTCTAAAAGATAACATGAACTTTCACAAATTTGTAGTTTCAACATTTAAGTTGAATAAAAAAAACCTTGCTTACTTGTTTGATGTTATTACCATAATCTTTAGCTATCACAAAAAAAAAATTCCGTTTGTTGGTGGCCTATTTTTATAGGATTAGAATCACCTCTTTTTGGGGCCTCAGTCAACTGCGGACATATTCTGTGAACCTAAGGAAATCTCTGTCACTGTGTTTTTTTTTCTCTCCACAGTATTGTTGGACGTGATGTTTTGGGAATTTGGCCTCAAAATTCCCAAAAAGCTGACATAAATTGTGCTCACCTCTCTCACCTAGGAAATGCAATAGCAACTGGGGATGATTTTGGACTAGTGAAACTCTTCAATTTCCCTTGTTCACAAAAATTTGTAAGTGTCAACAAGTTCGAGTCTATAACTTAGAAAAGCTTGTATGAGGGAAGGGGTACTGATGTACTATGTGTTTACTTAATGCAGGCTGAGTACAAGAAATATGCAGGTCACTCAGCTCATGTGACCAATGTTCGCTTTATGTTTGATGACCGCTACCTTGTCAGCACTGGAGGAGACGACTGTTGGTAAGTTGATTAATGAAACAGTTGATTACCTTTTTTTATTATCTTTCATCTGTTAGGTTGATCATTGAAACAGTAGTTCTGTTAAATATTTATAATCTTAGGAGTTTAAATTAAAAATTTAGTGTTTATATGAGCAAAATAATTTTTAAATGCTTTTTATCAGATCTTCCTGGGTTTTGAAATTTATGTTAATATTCATTGTTTTTTGTTTAGTGTCTTTGTTTGGAGATGTGTTTAGAAATGCAAGAAGGCCAAATTACTAAACAATCATCAGCTTCAACCGAGGTGCTCAGTCTCTGTTAATTATCTTTAAAAGCTAATATTTGAACTATTCATGATGCCAAGATCAAAATGTTTCCTTTTATTTTATTTTTTTTTAAATATATTCTGCATCTTTAACAATTTAAGCTAATTGTATTTGTCCATTCATGGGAGAAAACTTTGTTGGATAATTGATTAAATAATTACTCTTATATGATGTTATTAATTTATGCTGTTGTAAAATTATTCGTTACTCTCAGTGAGAATTTTAAGAAAAATTATACATTTTACATTCCATTTTATGCTGTCATTATATTTACTATGACAATTAAACTTTACAAATGTAGTATTTTACCATATTATTTTACTGTAGTTTGTATTAAAATTGCTTATGTGTGTTTTGTGATATTCAATTAAAGCACTGCATGTTTTATTTGTAAAAAGTAGGCCTACAGATTTGTAAAATGAAATATAACATTAATATAATAGAGTAAGACTTATTCATAAGGTAATCAAAATATTTTATTAGGTTTATGTTAAGTAGCTGATTAATGTTATTATCTCTGTAATTGTTATATTTAATAAACTCTTATAACACTGCCTTTTGATACATATGCCTTTACAATTTCTTTAGTGTAATAAAATCCAAATATATTACATATTTTATTATTTTAAGATAAGTTATCAATAGTCAGTGAATACTTTTTATTGAGAATTTAACATTTTCTCACACATTAATGGGGTGTTGATACATTTTTATAAAGTATCATAATTAAAATGTATCTATAAAATATCTAACAGATGTCACTGATATTGTATCTTTTGTAGCACAAAAAATGTATTGAAAAGGTTAATAACTATAAATGAATTACATGTACTATAGTCAATCTATATAAGCCTCAATCTATTTACTTTATTAAGGCAGCAATAATCTCATATCATTTTATAGTTCAATTTTAATTTATACAAAATAATTAAATTTCACTTATTTTAAAATAATTTTAATGAAGTGATTAATTGTTTTATATATGACTTTAAATAAAAATGCATATTGAAAATCAATAACTTGTCATATTTATTTTTTGAATCTATTCTGTCCACTTTTTAAGCCTATATTTTGTAGTTAAAACTGCACCACTGTCTAATATTTAAGTAAACTTGAAATGAAGCTAATGTGTGGTATTTTTCCAGATACAAATACCTATGATTCAATGGAACAGGTGGAATATTTTTAAAAAGTTACTTTATGAAATTATAGTATTGGTATAATAAACTCTGTTAAAAAAATTTTTTAGGTAAATAAATACAAGAAACTAATTGACTGCTCATGTGTATGTTTATTTATGAAAAAAAAATGTACAAGATAACATTTGCCAAAACCATAAAAAAATATTTATGAACACAAACATCATACTAATAAAAATAATTGTTGCACATTATTAAATTGGCTTCATTTAAGTATTTCAAAAATTAATTCAAGACAGTCTTAATTTTCATTCTGTCTTTGATTTTAAAATAAAAGACTCAAAGATGACCCCTTTTACTTAATCACAAGGAATAGAAATTTTTATTTTTTTTACAAAGGATGTGTTATTCAAATAAATCTTGGGATTACAAAATACCATGAAAAATATGCTTACATGAAAATGTCCTTTCTCATTCTGACAAGATGGTCAACATGCCTCAGGTTCACCTGTTTTGTGACAAACATAGGAATAGCTCCGATGGGTACCTAACTCACATAAGGGAAAGTTAAGGCGACTGGGCATAATGGTGATCACACTATCCCTTCATATGCCAAGGTCACAGAAACAGGTGAACTCTACTTCACTTACCCCATTGACCGTCAGGTTCTAAAAGGGAACTTTACATACAAAGGGGTATAATGTAGTTAGATGTAATTGCATGCTTATCCACCATAACATGGTTTGAGTCAGATACAATCAGAGCTGGGTGGACCCAGGGATATCCTATGGACTCAAGCCGTGGATCTGAAGTCAAGACTTTTGGTTTAGGAGTAGTGTGCTGTACCACCTAGCCTTGCCATCCCATATTACAAACCATGCTTTATATTTTTGCTTTGCTGGTATTAGTGGCGACATTGAACAAAATACTTAAACACCAAACTAGTTTTAATAATTTACATTAAGAGTGTTAATATTACAGTCAACTTAGATCTTAAATAACTTCAAATGACATAAATAAAATGTTTTACTTTAACAAAATGTACTCATATACGTATAACTAATTGTTTTTAAACTAAAAATAAAATATTTCTGTCTTTAATTTTAAACAACTTTTTAAAAAATATTTAAGGCAACACTTTCATAATGCACTATTTTCAATGCTTCTAAAAAAATACATGTTATATATATTGTGCTTAAAAAAAGGTTTCATTTTAAAATATAAATCACAAAACAAGTAGCTTCACATACTACCTTTACATATGTTTGTAGTGTACAAAAATATTGGGTGGCCATTAGAATTCCCAAACACTTTAGGCGTTCTAAACAAAATATTGCAGAAAAGCTTTGTGGCTGGGTGCACTCATTTAAGTCCAAACATTTAAGTCTTAAATTGAGATCTGACCATAAGAGTACAAGAAGCTTACAACAAGTATTATTGCATTCAATTCATCTTAAAATATATCATTTTATCTTTATGTTAATATTTGTAGTATTCTTGTAGGTCTATAGACCTCATAGTTCTTGGGATAATCTCCACACACAATACCTATTCAAATCTTCTCTTTACCTGATATTAAAGGTAGACTTATATAAATATAAAAATTATTATACCAAAAACAAATTTTCGTTTAATGAATAACTGCTTTTAGCTACTAGATTTTCCTTCATTTCTTTTCTCTTTCATTTGTTGCACTTCTTTTATCAAATATTCCAATGGATCACTAGGTTTGTTGTAGATAACATCAGTTGTTAGATGCTGTGAAATCAATTTTTTTTTTAAATTAATGTTCTATTCATAATTTTTTTTTTGTTCAAGGCTAAATGTTTTTAAATTATTAAAACATATGAAAATCAAATTTGTATTAATAAAATGTTAGGCTATTAAATAAATAGTATTTTTAATTTTGTCTTTTTAATACTAGTTGGCTACAAGAAATAGCAAAATTTTGCTTTGCTAGCTGCATTGTACCTCAGTTACTGTTTTTCATCTTTTTTAAAATCCTAACTTTTATTAACCCAACAACCTAATTCTTGCCCTGAACTAAATGGTGAAATATGGAAGAAACTTGATGAATAATTTACTGCACTGCACCCAAAACTATAGAATCTAACTTTAAGCTATAAGCTGAGTGGGCCTATAAAAGCTCTTTGTGTATATGAGTGTTAAATATTATATTTCTGCATTTAAATGCTTAAAAGATTAATTTTTAAATCCAACACTGTAAGAATTCATGCATGCAAATGCACAGAATTCTAAAAAAGATATTTAATTACTATTGAACAAACTTTGATTGGCTATTTTTTTATACCTAATTAAAACACCATTACTTTTGTGCTACAATCTTTTTAACACTACTTCAGCTATTTCCTTAAAGATTGATGTTTGAATGGCAGCATGTTTTTGTTCATGTCTATGTCAGAGATGATAAAAAATACTATTGTTAGACTCTATCGTCATATATGAGATGTCCTCAGACTCTTTGAAGTGCAATGGAAACACACAGGAAAGACCTCCACATTGGAAGGTCATCACAAACAGTGATGAGACCACAGACATTATCAACATCATACTACCACGATACTAAAATAGAAGAATTCTACGAACAAATTTGGGTGGTAATTTACGGCAGTGGCGTAGGCAGGGGGGGGTCATAACCCCCCACCCCAATAGACCCCTCGGTATATATATAAAAAGTATGAGGGGGGTGCAAATCGAAAGTTTGATTGAGGGGGGTGCAAATCGAAAGTTTGAGGGGGGGGGGGGTGCAAATCAAAAGTTTGTCCCAGGGTAAAAATTGGAACACCCCCCCCCCCCCCCCCCCCCCATTGAGACTATCCTGGCTACGCCACTGATTTACGGAATCCCTAAAAAAGGACATCATGATACAAAATTACTTGAACGCCTGGATAGGCGTGGACGCATATAGTATGGGAAAGGCATGTGTGGTAAATATAACAATTTAGTAGTGGCTAACACTCTAGGAACATGACATAGCCCCAATGGGAAACACCACAACCAGATCGTCTACATCATGGTGCTGGAGCATTTCAGGCTTGGTATACACACTGCCAAGACATAGAGCTTTCCAGGAGAAGCTGTGGGAAGTGACTATGACCCTGTTATGATGACATGTTCACATTTTAAAAAGGTCAAGAGCAGTGGCTGACAAGGATAAGATTTAACTTTGGAAAAACTAAAGGACCCCCAAAACAAATTTGCAGCAATCAATATCCTAGATGAGGATGGCACTAATGTGGATGAATTAATTGATGGTTTTAACACCACCATAATTCACACTGCCAACAAAGTCCTTGATAAACACAGACAAATAAAAAAAAACATGATCAGATTTACTAGATTTGTGCGGCAAATGAAAAATACCAACTAGTTAAAGACCTGACAACCCCAAAGCAAGGGTGAACCACCAATGTAAAGGACACAATGACCCCAATAATGGTTTAGGGATGATAAGTGACAGTCTAACTATAGATCTAGTAAGGAAAGGTATAATATAAAATATAAAGTATAGAGTCAATCAAATTTTTTTTTACCAGTGACAAAAAACCAAATTAAGTTTTTGCACCTATGGTACTGTAGGACTTGGGTTAGGTTTATGTATATCCCTAACATTAGCATATCAAAATTGTATTTAGAATCTAGAGCTATATCTATAAAAATAAATATAGTAGATCTAGATCTAGTAATATAATTTTTATTAATTAAATTTACATTTAAGTCTGTAAGTCTGGTAATCTGATTCAGTGAAAAAAAAATAAAAGTCAAATTGGCTAACGACAAAGTTACAATTGAAAACAGGCTCACTTGAAACAACTGTAAAATATTATGTTTTTCTAGGTAACTTATTGCTTTGCTATAAGGGTCTTCGGGCATTTTGATGCGCTCTTGCTCTTGGGTGCTTACATCAAAGATTTCACTACCAATATTGTCATTACCAGTTCCAGCCATCTTGTGATTATTTTTCATAGCAACCGAAAAGAATTTTAAACTGCTGCCATTGCGTTCTATAAGGTAAAGCTCAAACGAGCGCTTTAGTGTGTCTATATTCTACAATGTAGACTGGCCCAGGGTGTTTAAATTTAACTTTTAGGAGACTTTTAGGCCTAGGCCTGCCGAATTTTTAATTAAATATAATCTTAAATATTTATTTTAAAGGATGCAATATTCAAGTTCACTACAGAACATAAACAATCTTTTAAAGTTTTTACTATAATAATAGAACTAGAGAGGAATCTAAATTAAATTACAGCTTACATTATCCTAATCTCACTGCAGAAATGTTTTGCTACTCCCCCCCACCCCCAATTTTTAAAATTAAAATTATGCCTAAACATAGATCTATTATAACGGGAACCAAAGCCAAGGAAGCCTGGCAGGCGGTTTCAATGTTCTATTTTTAGCTTTGAACGTAGAGCGCATTAACAGTCTTTTCCAGGTTTAGTAGTGCTTATTTCGGCGAACGGTAGAGGAAATGCGCAACGTAGTTATTAAATCGTCTCACATCAACTCGAGGATATATAGGCCTATGCCTATAATAAAAGTATATTATATTATCCCCACAAAGTTCAGAAGAAAAATAAAGTTATTAAACATTTTACATAGGTTGCAATACTTCTAATAAAGTGTATACTTTTTCTGTTTTAATTGTCAAATGAAATACAACTTTAAACTCGGTTCTCTGAATATTCTATTCCTTATAGAACTTCTGTTCACACATAGAGTTGGTATAGCTGCGACGATTCCTTCCCTTGATGACACGCTTTGTCTCCCTTACATGATGAAATCAAATATTTTAAAATATTTTAATCCTTTCAGTTTTCAGATTAAGATCGCCTCGCTCTATTATTGTTTAATTACTGGTTCCACGTATGGGCCATGCACGCGGATTTCAACCTCCCCCCTTCCCTCCGTCACACATCGTCTCAAAAAGCCAGACCCCCCCCCCCCTAAAATGACGTCGCATCTCAGTCTACAACCCCCCTCAAAATTGCTGTTGAATTTTTCTTAAAACATCGATCATTTTCCAAAATCTTGTCAGAACTATGTCAACATAGAATATTTTGATCAATTCCGGTTAAAACTCGTTTTCTAACATCGCTTTTTATAATGCAAAAGTGTGACGTCACACCATCTGACCCCTCCTCATCACGGACCCCCCTCCCCCTACGAGTGTGAAGTCATTTATGGACGACCCCTAAGTTGTAAATTAGAGGGAGGCGACATTTTAGTCGGGGTCTGACTTTTTGTGACGATGGGGGTAGAAGGAGGAAGAGAGAGAGAAAGGTGGTTAACAATTCTATAGAAGACCCATTATTTTCTCAGACTATTCCTAGCCCAAACCTGGCCAATAATAATAAACCTAAGTAAGATATAATGCGTTGAAAAAAATATTAAGGGGTCATCCATAAATAAATGACGTCACGCTTTTTTTTTTACTTTTACCTCCCCCCTTCCCTCCGTCACACATCATCACAAAAAGCCAGACCCCCCCCCCCCCCCCGTAAAATGACATCACGCCTCAGCCTACACCCCCCCCCCCCTCAAAACATCGGTATTTGTCCAAAATGTTGTCTGAACTATGTCAACATAGTCTTTTAATAAATCCTATTACAATTTATTAAAACAGTTTTCTAAAACATGAAATAACGGCTAAAACTCGTTTTTAAACATAGCTTTTTTAAACTGCAAAATTATGACGTCACACCATGTGGAACCACCCCCCTCCTCATCACACACCTCATAAAATTACGGACACCCCCCTCCCGTACGAATGTGACGTCATTTATGGACGCCCCCTAGGCCCTAAAAATAAATGCCATTTGCGCTAATAACAAAAAAACACTATTATGACAGATTTCAAACCCGAAAACAAAACTAAAAAAAGCCACCACAATATTGATTTATAAGCGAATACAATTCGTTAAAACATAACAACATATTAAATAAAACCAAAAAAAACTCTTTAAAATTCTAAAAAAAAATACACTGTTCAAAAATACTAATAATATTGTATGCCCTTAAAAATAGAAGCTTAATATATAGCTTGCGGATGAGAGAGGATTTAAGCACTTTGGCCACTTCCTCTACCTTTTGCCCATGTCAAAAGGCGCCGTAAAATTCTTCTCATTGCATTTCGGTCAAGTCATGTGCTTCCGTTGAAAAAAAACATCTTAAGGACCTAGATTATAAGTAACATTTGTAGATCTAGAATTTACTTGATAATGGCAAATTACGAAAATGGAGAAATTCCGGCAAAAATTCCAAGAATAGGGGAAAAGCCAGTCACAGTTGTCTTAGGAACCCAATGGGGCGACGAAGGAAAGGGCAAAATTGTCGATATGCTAGGTGTTAGTGCTGACTTGTGTTGTCGTTGCCAGGTAGGTGTCCTAGAGCTAGATCTACATTCTTCTGCTTTTTTAGCTTTTAATTAAAAAAAAAGGATGATTGAGGATACCAGTAATTAACAGATTCCCAAAATAGGGTTTTAGTACAGTAGTCATTGTTTTATTATGATATCGATAGAAATTAGGCTTGTCTTACAACTTGGTCTTATCTGACTATGGTAGGGCATCACTTATCACTAGCCACTAGGGCTTACTTAGCAGCGGCTTAGGGTTAGGCCTTGTTGAATAGGATTAATCAAAGATTCCTCTTTAGACTTAATGATTCATTGGACAGATGAAGTTGTAGTTCATATGTTTCTTGACCTTGTAATATAAAGGGATAATGTGGTCAGCATATTCCCAGCCGCGTTTCCTTTACCTAACGTTAGTTAGGTACCCATCAGAGTTGGGTGGACTCAGGAATTCTTCTAACTTGAACTCAGATTCGTACTCAAAACTATCAGTACTCAAAACTATCGGGTTAGCAGTCTAGCACTCCACCACTAGGCCACACTGTCCCATGAATTGAGTTCAAGATCATGTTTATGTATTAGATCTAGACTAGATTAAGATGTTTTACTATTACACTCACTCTCCCTCAGAGACTAGAGCTTGAATTTAGAATAATCTAGATTAGGTAAAATTAGAGCTGGAGAAACTTCCTATTATTTATAGTGTTCAGTTGATGCTTTCTTAATCATTTTTATTTTGTATCAAGTTTATGTAAATCAATCTAGACTATTTTTTTACATGCTTTGTTGAAGCAAACTATTTAACATTAGAATTAAATAAATAGGCCTAGTTTCTAGTATGACCTAATATTTTATTTATTATTTGTTATAGGGAGGTAATAATGCAGGGCATTCAGTTCATGTTCAAGACAAGCATTATGCCTTTCATCTACTTCCGAGTGGTGTAATTTACCCAACGTGTAAAGGATTGATTGGTAAATATTTTGTTTGTTTTTTTTAATGGTAAAATTGACTATAAAAAACAATTAGACTAATAGTATGTAGTATATAACATTGAAAAACCTTTTACTTAAATGATTCTTACCTTTCAGGAAATGGTGTTGTAATCAACTTGCCAGATCTATTCAATGAGATTGAAAATAATAATATAGATTTGAAAGATAGACTTGTCATATCTGACAGAGCCCACTTAGGTTTGTTTTTATTTAATTGAACAGATTTATGTTTATTTTGTGTATGACAAGCAACTATTTTATTTATATGGTATACTTAAATTTCAGGCAGTCACTCTTAGTTGTGTAGCTCTTATCTTAACATTGTTGTATATTAAAAAGAATAATTTAAACATCCAAAGATAACTGAATATAAAAAATTAATATTTTACAATTTCAAGTAATATGGTCTAAAACTTTGTTACTACATAGCCTTTTTTCTGCAGTTTTTAATTTTCATACCCAAGTTGATGGTATGCTGGAATCTGGGAGAGGACAAAAGTCGTAAGATTCTTGTTAATTTTAGTAACTTAAATTTTTACTAATAATTTGTTTATGTTCTACCATTTTAATGTATTAAACGTTGATAGATAACACATGACAATATATTATTTCTCTTAACTCACAGTATTGGCACAACAAAGAAAGGCATCGGTCCAACTTACTCTTCCAAGGTGAGTTTTCGTCCAAAATAATTTAAAATCAACTTACCTCAAGACAGTAGTCATTAAAAATTTAATATAAAAATGAATTCAAAACTTGGATGTGAATGTATTTTCCAAAAGATATGGCTTTTGTGTTCATTTCTAAGTTATTCTTTAAAGCAGTTTCAACTTTAAAACTAAGTGCAGCTTTTGAATAATTACAATATTTTATGTGTTATGAGCATGTCTATGTGTATGATGACCATGTTTTCTAACAAAGCCCTCTTGAACAGGCAACCAGGAATGGTCTCAGGATATCTGATCTCATTGGAGATTTCACCAAGTTCTCTGAAAAGTAAGATCGCGTTTTGAATGCCATAAAGATGGTGGATTGAAACTGATTATCAGCCGTTTGTTGGACCTTAAGATTATTTTATCGATAAATTAACTGTTGCGGAATCTTTTAGCTAGCTGACTAGCCATATCTCATATAGCCTGTTTTGCCCAACACTTGTATTTGTTATTTGTTTTAAATTTTTAGTTCATATTTGATATCCTGACTACTTCATGAGTTTAAAAAAATGTCAGTGTGTATTATATGTTATTTGATAATCCTTGGACAAATCAGCAGTGATTGGAGTTATGTTTTTTTGTTTTTTTTTACTTTATTGATTATACTTCTTGTTATTTAGCCTGCTAAAATGTTTCTGTAATTAATGTTGTTGTATGCTTAACAGCCACTAAATGTACTGTTATTTATCATATACTTAAAAAATTACTGTTACATGATTTGTGTTTGTTTTTTAGATTCAGGAGTTTGGTCGAACATTATCAAGTTATGTTTCCTGACTTGAATGTTGATGTTATCAAGGAATTGGAACTTTACAAGGTAGCATTATTCAGGCCATGAACAATTGTATCTAAATTTGTTCATTATTTTGATAAGTAATTTTTTAAACTAACAATGTTAATTATACAGAGAACAATGTACTGGTACAGTTCATCTGAATCTCTAACCATAGCATGTGAAGAAATAGTGTGGCTAGTGCAATGACTAGCAACTTTAACTTTCTGAAGACACAGACATTAAGCATACTCATAGAAGATTTTGATCTTGTCAGAAATTACGGAATGCCTATAAACTTATTTAACCTTTTTGTTGTAACTACTGTTTAAAAGGCAACTATGTACACTAATGAAACACAATATATCTTAATGTTGATTCCCTGCCATTATTTCTAAGACACCCTCCTGCTATCTATCATAACAAAGCTATAAATTAAGCTTTCATAAATTAACTAGCAAAAACAATTTGACCCATTAAAATTTTTATGGAATTCAGTGTAAAGTAAACTATTCTGACATAAATTATTGAAAAGCAAATTTATAGTGCATTTTTATACAACCATAGTTGTTGTACATGTTAATTTGTCATCCTGGTGTGCAAAAAGTCATGACAATATACTCATGATGCACAGTGAAGAGGTTCCCTTATTTTCTGCAGGATCTTGCCACCAGAGTAAGGCCAATGGTTAAAGATACTGTAAGCTACCTACATGAGGCTATATCCAACAACAAAAAAATCCTTGTTGAATGTGCGCAATCAACTATATTGGATATAGATTTTGGTTTGTATACAATTTATATATGTACATTGTAAAATCATATAGGCCTTTTTTTTTTAAATTATGTCAAGCTTTAAAGTTTTTGATAAATTGTCTCACTCTACCTTGGTTATGTAGAAACTGATACATATAGAAAAACACTCATTGTTCTTATGTAAATATTACTTATTAAACTCTGTGCAGTTTTTATTATATTCATATTTATAATCTTTTAAAACAGGACTTTACCCCTATGTTACTTCATCAAATTGTTCAATTGGCGGTGTATTGACTGGCCTTGGTATTCCACCACATGTAATTGGAGAAGTGTATGGAGTGATTAAAGCTTATCTAACTCGTGTTGGAAGTGGTGGTTTTCCAACAGAACTCAAAGATGTATGTATTTCCTTGTAGCCTAAATTGTTTTGTGACCAAAATGGATACCTTTAAAATGTTTTTGATACTGAATGAATCTCAGGGGTGCCACTTTTCCGTGATATCCTGGATTCGATAATCATTATTTTTTATCTGTCCTGCTTTGCACAATATGAGTTTAAAATGTCCGGGTTTGCAATTTTAAAAACAAATTTAGATCTTTTAAGGTTTGGCATTCTAGAAATTATTTTATTATCACGACTCTAATTTTTTTACTGCTTATGTCCCCTTCCCCCATTCACGCTTGCATAGAATGTGCAATTGACAATAAGTTTTAGGGTTTCTAACATTTCAAATTTTGGTTTCAGGATTGGTAAAATTTAGGGAATGCCTTTTAGGATTCACTTAAAAAATGAGTGATTCCCCTGGAATCTGGAACATTAATTACAAATATTGTTTTAAAAATTATAAATATAATTTAATGTTATTGTAACTAACCTTAAAACTTTAAAAATAGTATAAAATTTTAAAATTATGAACATGTAAGCAAAAAACAAAACCCCCTACCAGCATAATTATGCTAACATTTCTGAAAATCTTTTAGGTAATTTTACTCAAGGGTCTACATGTTATATGTACCCTTATGATGTAGCTCCAATTTTTTCAAGAAAAATATTTTTGTTTTCAAGCAAAAAACTATCAAAATTTTAGTTTTTTTTTAGAGGCAGTTTAAAGTGATAATTTTTTTTTATAATAAAATATTTATCAATTTACAGAAAGATGGTGAGTTACTGCAAAAACGTGGTGCTGAATTTGGTGTGACAACTGGGCGACCACGTCGTTGTGGCTGGCTTGATTTAGCAATGCTGAAATACTCTAACATGATTAATGGTTTCACTGGGTAAATAATTAAAAACTATTAAAATTGTCTTGATGTCTGATTTAGGCATTTAGAAGTATTAACCCACTCAATCCCGGCCACTCCGAAATGTAATGCTCTGAAATCCCAGCCAAAGGGAAATGACTCCGCACTTTACACTGTTTGGTTCAGGAAAAATTAATAGCAACTCTATGTTGCACCATAAATACAAGGAATAAAGTGCATTGTATTCAGTACTGATTGCTCCACATGAAAGATTATCTATGGAAAGTATCATCATCATTTATTGTAGTGCATGGTCCTACATGTTCAACGAAATCACGAAGCTGTACCTCAGTCAAAATTGTTGACCAATCTCGACCATTAAATTGTTCATTTGTTCTTGGTCTTGTCACCACTAGAAGTAGCATTATCTTCATCACTAAAAATACACATTGCCACTTACTTTATCATTTATTAATTCATAGTCTACACCAGAGTCATTATCATTATACTAATCAATATCCCCATCCTAATGAGAGGGTCCAGCGCAATTATTCATCAAACTTGTTAGAAAATTGAAAGCCATTTTAAAACTACGATATTTGTATACGTGTATTTTGCAGCCGGATTTGCCCGCTGCGGGATTGACGCGGTAGAGGCCGGATACGGCAGTTATTGGATTAAATGGGTTAATCTTAGTTGCTTTTTAAAGCTGTTAACAATGCATTATTTACAAATTATTTCTATGGGTGATAATTTCATTTCTAGCCTCGCTGTAACCAAGCTTGATATTCTAGATGTCTTTGAGGAGATAAAAGTAGGTGTTGCATACAAACTTAATGGAGAAATTCTCAACACTTTTCCAGGTAAACTATTATTAATATAAAATTATCATTTTTGAAGTAAATACATTGATCCACCTTTTGCCTCAATCAACACCTTTGGTTTTAACAATACTTTAGCATCCGACGATGACCTTCAGCAGGTAGAGGTTGAATATATTACTCTACCAGGATGGCTAAAGAGCACAGAAACAGTGAGAGAGTTTTCGGATCTTCCAGCAAATGCTAAAGAATACATCAAAACTATTCAGTTGCATGTGGGGGTTCCAGGTATTGGCTTCATTACTGGATATTTTATTACTTTTATACTGTTAAAGCTAATATTAACTTTTATATATGTAACTTAAGTTTTATAATTTAAATATATTTTTAGCCTCGAGCAAAATTTCTTTTAATGTCGACATTCTTATTTTAAGGTGAAGTTAAAACAAAGGGACCATCAGCAATTTTATATTAATTTCATAATAAAGAGATTTATACTTCCAAATATTAGTATAAAAATAGATTTTGGCCTGCAATTTCATGAAAATTACTAACTTTCTGTTTCAGTGAAATGGGTTGGTGTAGGCAAAGACCGAGAATCTATTATCTCCATTCCAAATCCATGAGTAAAAAAAACAGTCTGAGGGCTTGAATTATCTACTGCTGACTGATCTTTTCATTAAATGATTTCAATGGGTTGTTTGTTTATTTTGTGAATGAAGAGTGCAGATAGTAAAATAATCCTTGTTTTTTTAAATTGTAGTAAAGAGCATTAAAACATTTATATGAACTCATCTTTTTAAAAAGTAAATTATGTACATGTATTGCATTATTATTCATTGAACGTACAATATTTTATGACCTAAAATCTGGACCTTTATGTGTTCCCTGGGGTATAAAAATTAGGGACTTTATTTATTTACATTGATGAGTGTTCATGTAATTCTTTCTTCTTGTATATGAAATTTTTTAAAAAGAGATTATATTACATTTGTGTTCCTTTCTAAAAGTATTATAAGCAATTAAATTTACTAGTTTGTTTTCCATTAAAAAGAGAATGTATACACTCTGATAATTAACTTCAGCTGATTAATAGATTTTTGGGGCATTAAACAAATGGGTTTAAATTTCCATTATTAGAAAATACATTGTGTGTGGTGATTGCATTTTGATTCCATTTTTAATGCATTGTACAATTTTTTTGTTTATTATTATTTTTTGTGCTAACATTTTGGTGTGGAGTGGACCTGTACAGTGAATTTTCAACTAAAATTATTTTCTTCAGAAATGAACAATTTTGTCAGAACAATATAAGAACAACATTAGCAATTTGTGCTTGAATCTCCTATCAAATGCTGCTGCGCCCCCACCCCCTCCCTTTTTTCCCCACCCCACATCGTACTATTACCATAGGCAGCTGATTGTTTACTTTATAGAGCTCACTGGGCATTGTTTAACCTTTATTTTAACCTACTAAATGAATGGGTTTTGTCATATGACAAAACTTATGAAAATATCAAGGCATTTATTCTAGTTGCTGGTATTTTGTAAAATATGAGATTTTCAAAAGTTAAGGATATCTTAAGTTTTTATTTTTTATCATTATATTAAAATTTGAGTTTTCAATTTTTATACAACTATAGCTATTGTTTTGGTAATTTTCTACACTGAGGATTTTTGTCTTCTTTTAGTTATTCCTGTGAGTGCAAATTGTACTTGATAGGGGTTATTTTTTTACATTTAACAAATTATAACTCTTGCTTCACAGAATTGTCTTGAAAAATATTTCATCATATTTTATGACCTAAAATGTTATAATTTAGTACATTTTGACCAAACAATTGTATTCTATTATCATATGAAAGAGATTAAAAAATAGTTATTTAAAGAGTCGCATATTGTGGTGAATTTTTTAAAATTCCCCAGCACATAAAGCATCAATAATTTTGTTGAGATATTTGTTTTCTTATCCAACTGCAAGTGTAATTTTGCAACAAAATAGCTTGAGAAATAAATGAATTATCCTGGTTTGTTCAAACTTCATTGTTTTTTTTTTAAAACACCATTTTAAGTCAGGCATGCACACTCAGCCCTACTGGGTAGATAATGGGGGAAAGGACCTACTTCAGACCAAACATACCCTTTATTCCATGGAAACTGACTAATCTTACTTCTTATACCCATGGATTGTTAGGTCTGATTACTAGGATTGATCAAGTTTTAAAGTAATGTCCCAGCAAGCGTGGCCTAAGCATTGGAACTAGTTTGTCCACAGTGTTTTAAAACTTAGGTTGAAAACATGCAGAAGCAGCAAAGCATTATGTTGCTAGTTCCTGAATGTCCTGTGTTTTTGAGCTATACGAATTTACTCTAAAACATGTTGGTAGCACATGACTCCTAACCTCAAGTTGCTAGTTCAGATCATGTACACAAGTCCATTCCAGATCATAAAGGGAAATTAAGGTGGCTAACCCCATTATCTTCACAAACTGGAAATCTTCACATAAGTCTTATAGATGTATGAAATTATGTAATTAGCCACACAAACATTTAGCATCGAGTATATATGTTACGGTCAAAGCCCGAAGTGCGGCCAAAGCGCGGATTGGCCGGCCAATGCGCGGATTGGCCGGCTCTCTTGGCCAAAGCCCGAAGAACTTAAAACTAAGATCGTATTTCGTACATTGGCCGGCCAATGCGCGCACTGGCCGGGACGTACTGGCCCATGTCCGAAACGTTTAGACTTGACAGCGTATTTTGTACATTGGCTGGCCAATGCGCGCATTGGCCGGGATGTCCTGGCCAATTTTCTATCTAGACTAAGTTGTGATCGTGTTTTCATTATTCTGGGTGCGGTTTCATTGTGAGTAACGTATTGTTTAGCTCTTGTTTGTATAGCATTCTATATGCAAGGTGACATGGATCAAAAGGGCCGTCAGACCATGAGACAGACATAGCAGATGGCTGTCAAAAGAAAAAAAAATGTAAATGCATGTTAGTTTCCATATATGGGCTACAACTGTATGTGACAGCCTCCTCCATGATGACAATCATCAAAGAACAAAATCAAAGACAGTCGGCGTCACCGACCACGTGCAACAAGACGGAACGTTCAAAAGACTTTGCCGCGTTTCTTGTAAGTTGAACAATAGTGTCCAAGCGACTTGAGATGGCGAGGGCGTCAGAAACCATATTTCCCCAACAAAAGGGGAATACCAAATAAAGCAGACCCATCACCGTGCCTTGACTGGACTGCATGATAAATACCGACAGAAATTCATTCCAGATTTCTTTGCACTGCGGATTACTTGACTGTTTAACACTACGTTTGCTTGATTGTGGAGTTAAAACATCAAATACAAAATTTAAAGATGGTGAAGTGGGTGACAATGTACGCATCCATGTTCCAGATGTTGACTGAGGTCGCGGTGATCCCCGAAGCGTGATTGCAGTTGTCATGAGCGTCGAGGGCGGTTTCTACAAATTAGGAACGGAACATGGTGTTCTAAAACAACTGTATGCTAGAAGTGAGTTTTCAATTCTTCACGAAAAACTGTTCTTATTGTCGTCAGTTGGCACTGAGGAAAAATCACTACGAACCATCGCATCTTCACAATCATTGACTAGGGGCCAAGGCTACACTCGCTGTAATTGCACAACCAAGTGCACAACAAATCGCTGCAAGTGTAAAAATAACAAGCTGCTCTGTAATTCTAAATGCCATAAAAGTTCAACTTGTTGTAACAAAATATTGATTGATTGAGACTATAGTACAATAAAAAATTTGAATGTTTCTGTCATTTACTTTAATTAATAATCAATAAAGACTTAATTTCATGATCCTTACGGCATTAAAAAAACCAACATCTGCTCATGATTTTCTAATTCGAACTTTGGCCGGTCGTCCCTAGCCAGATGATCTTCTAATTAAAACTTTGGCCGGTCCACCATGGCCAGTCCGCGGACTGGCCGGCCAAAGGCCAAAATCAAGAGCTATTTCAGACTTTGGCCGGTCCACCATGGCCAGTCTGCGGATTGGCCGGCCAAAGGCCGAAATCAAGCAAAGTTTCGGACTTTGACTGACCTATGGGAGGCGATATTGGCCAATGCGCGGATTGGCCGGCCAATCCGCGCATTGGCCGACTTCGGGCTTTGACCGTAACATATACATAATGTGGGTTTTGTGTGGTCAAATGGTACTGTTCAAAAGCTAACCTCAAGTTCATTTAGTTTTGGAGTGGGCATGTCTGACAGCTAAAAATGATTTGACAGTAAAAAAAAAACCTAATAGACTAATAATACTAAAATTATAATTTAATGTTAACTATTCAAACTATGTAAAATATAGTGCACAAAACCTTTTATAAATTTAATTAAGTAAATAAAATGTATTAACTAAATTTCTTTTGAATACTAACTACCAAACGAAAAAAATTCCTCATTTTTATTGCAGCAAAATCTTTGTTATAAAGTTAAATTTAAGCTTTGCTACATTGTCTTACTGGTGTAAAGCCAAATAAGTTTTAACATAAGTGTCAGCTGTATTGTTAAAACTTAATTACAAGACAGCAGGGGCCTTTGTTTTCATACATTTTATTAAAAAAAAATGCTCTTAAAGTAGCAATAATATACACAATCTCAAAACATTTCAACAGCAAGCAAATGACATTCCTACACAAATTGTCATAAGAGATATTTATTTTTAAATTTAGAAATGCAATATACAACATTCACAAGCTATAGAAAAATTGTAATAAAGTGGTACTTATAAATGTTTAAAAGTATCTAACATCAGTTCTGTTTCCATATTGTCACAATTTTTACAATGTAAATTTGCTTTCCTGTCTATGGTACATTTGCTGTTATTTTTTAATCAAACAAATGGACATAAATGCACTTTTTTAAAAACAGGTAATTCCCTATAGAAAGATTGGTATTTGGGGAACAACACAAAATAACTGCCCTTTGTTTTATAGTTAAAAGGGGAAAACTAAAAGCTGATGATTGCAAAACATAACACCTGTTTAATATTCTTGCAGCATGCATTCTGCATTTTTACAAATTTTATCATTTCATTTGAGTTCATTCTTTCTCTTTTGTACACTAGATCACAATGCTTTTACCCAACAAAAAAAAAAAAAAAAATCAGTAAAACTCACTTATACCAGTTTCATTATGTTTTACCATCATCAGATATCAAATTAAAACAAATACTACTATACACTTTGAACCCATGAGGGTCATTGTTAAACTTCATCTGAAATCAGGTTGTCAGCATGATATAATTTGAGCTGAGCAGCAGAACTGTTGGTGACAAGTTATCTAATTCATCAACACAAGCATGACTGTGCAGAGTTGTCCAGCAGGATCAATGACTAGCAGAACAGCATGATTTCGCACAAGCGCCATGCATTGCAGCTGCCTCTCTTCCTGCTTTTGTAAGTTTGCTTAAAATCTGATATGAGTAATCTTCTTCATCGTAAATGCCTTGCTCAGGTGATATCTCATCCACTGAATACCTAATATAAAATGGAGTTTTGAACTTAATAAAATTGTTATTGGATTATTATGTGGTATTTTCTACCATATTGCCTTTGTCTAAATGCATACCTAATTTAAAATATGAAGAATAGAGCTTCATAAAAATGTATTCAACAGGGAGTTTCATCTACAGTTAAACAAAATTATATATCACTTGTCCTTACTTTAATTTATTTACAAAGAATTCTTGTGCAGCATTGTTATGTTTAAAAACTGTCAACATCACACTTTTCATTTCATATCTGTAAATGTAACAGGATTTGTTGTATACTAAATATAGATAAATATAAAAATACCAATGCATACAGAAATGGATGAGCTTTTAAAAATCTAACATTACTAAAGGAAAAATTAGCAACACCTGAAAAAATATTTATGATTAACAAAACTTGTCCACAAGACAAATGTTAGCTTGAAATTTTTTTAAAATATTTTTTTTATATCTACTTCCTCGTTCAGATTATAGAGACAAGATTGTAATCATGCTAGAAAACTAAATGAAATTTTTACCATTTTATACCCCCCCCCTCACTGTATCATAAACAGGATATAAAGAATGCACTGTAATTGTGCAAAAATCTAAATCAAGATTTTGACTAATTTTGACGTTTTATATAAATATATACAAGAAAGTTTGGGGAGATCACTCCCGCTTTATTAATGTAAAAATTGGGTAGTTCACACATCAATATTTAACCACTATTTTATTAACTGTACATAGTGAATTGATTAAGGACACAAAGACATTGTGTAAAAAAATATAAACAACCTCAATATATCATGCTGGGAGACATTTAAAATGAACAAAAAAAAATAATATGCTGGTTTTTTGTTGTGAGCTTTTTGTTAGAAATCTTGGGGATGCTTGACTTCCATTAGTTAAAAAGTAAAAAAAGAAGTGGATTTGACAAAGTGCATTAAACCCCCTCTCCCAGGAATCATTGAGTGGCCTTCTTTTTTATATTACTTTTTCACTACAAATAATATTTTTGTATAGGGTAAAAATTTATTTTCAACTTCCATAGCATTGTCAGTGTAAATTAAAAGTAAACTCACTTGTTGGCCATCAGTTCTAAAATTTGCATCATAAACTTTCCTAATCCTTTCTTTCGAACATCAGGGCAAAGTTGGATTTCATAGCTGTGTTTGATAAAACATTTTTTTTAAAATAACAATTGTGGACATCTTAAACATTCTAAACAATTACATTTTCAGAAAATCTATTAATCATGCTTAATACTTTCCAAAAATATATTGTACTTGGACTCACCAGTATAAAACCTCTGTGTCAAGCTCCATATCAAATCTGAAATGGCTAAAAGCCACAGGTTTCCCATCTTGATCATATGCCAACAGATACCATGCTTTTTCCTCTGTCATTTCATCCAATTTTTCTCTGTCTTTCCAACCCCACTCACTCATTTCATATCTACAAAAAGGTTAACATTTTAAAAAATGTTTGATTAATTGATCAAGAAATTAACGTTATTTTGAGTTCATCTCAATAACAGTAAAAATAATAATCTGAAACTTACAGTGATTTCATGTTTGTTTTAGTAAGTTCAAAAGCCCAATTTACTGTGTTCTCATCCAGATCTTTAACACGCTTTGTCTCAAAAGTAACATTCAGCCTGTAAAACAACATCAATGTAGATTTCTGCAGAATTCTAAAGACTTTTAACATTACAGAAAAAATAATTTGTAATAAAAAGAATGATTTAACTATTTCAGAAAGCTCACCCATTTCTTTCATATTTCTTAAATACAGGGAAAGCTGCAAGAGGGTCATCAAGCTGTAAAGAATCATGTCAGTAAATCAAAGATAGTTGTTAACATTACATTTTTTTAAACGTAGTGAAAATGTGTTTTATATTTTAATAAATTTCAAATTCTAGCCCACTCAGTTATATTAAATACTAATTAGTGAGTACAAAAACTGATAAAATATAGTAACACCCGCAGTAAATGTGTTATGGCTGCCAGGCTGTTAACATACCTTATTGGCAGCCTCAACTTTGGCGTACAGTGCAGTTAATTTAGCATTTTCCTGAAAATGTGCAAAGATGATAGTCAAAGATACATACAGTTTGTAGAGTAACAAAAAGAAAGGAAAACTTAATTTTAATATATTTGTCTCATCACTCTAACACTTGCAACATGTATATCATACACATCTAGGAAAAAACTAGCATCAACGAAAAGCATACACTGCTGTGAGTTTTTCCCCATGACCTGTATAGTATACATGTTGCAAGTGTAAACTGTATTATTGTTCACCAATCTCACTGTAATTGAAGACATTCGTGGTAAAAGATAATTTAGTTAACAGGGGCAAGAAGTAAACTGGCTAGAAAACTATTTGATAATGTTTAAAAAGGAGACATATGTTTATTTCAGTATTCACTTTATACAGCAGATAGTCAAACCTGAGTAGTATCAATCACAGTTAGGTTTCATTTTGATAAAAAGCATACACTTTCCCCTTTTAAATTTTACATTATAAAGGTCTAAATATATTTTTAAAAATTGTTTAGCAAGCAGGTGTGGAAAATCATTTTTTGTGGATATCAACAAATTTACAGACTTTGTAAAAGCCATGTTCAATTTCCAACATTATTTAAAAAAAAACAAATTCTGCGTGTTCATACAATTTCAAATACTTACTTCTTTCTTTTTCAGTTTCTTTTCTTTTGCTTTGGTTGAAGATTTTCTCTAATGAATACAAATTGAATGGTTTTCATGCATGGTTCATTGTGAGACATTGCACAGGCTTAAATTATTAATGGCCAACGGTACAGCTATTAAAAAATGAATTATTTTTTTACTAAAGTAAAACATATTTCCAAAAAATGAAGAGGCATAGTGATTTTTAAAACTCTGCAGCTTGGTAATGAAGAATACACCATGTTTTTTTTAAAATATTTAATAGGCCTACATATGATGTAAAATAACTCTGAATGGTGTTGCATGTTCAAGTCGATAAGTGTCAGTATTTTTTAAAAAGTAAAATATAAAATAATATGACGCAGTTTGATATGTTGAAGTGACATCACCAGAAACAATAGCTGACCCCCACAACCTTAACACACATCTGTATCACTTCTGCCCTTGTCCTGAAAGTGTGGGGGCAAAATGCCAGATGGCAATGTGAAATGGCAAGACAGTATTGAGTATAATGCTACAAGGCTGAAAAAACCATTTGGTCATGTTTTGTCTTGTATTTTAACAACCCCAACTCTCAAACAGATAGCATGGTTGCGAGTAAAATGTAAAGATGTCTGTGATGAAGTAGAACAGAGGTTCTTAATCTTTTTGTAGATACCGATAGGCCGTTCGAATTCACAGCTTCCGGGTTTGTTGTTTTGAAGCCATCTCACGGCTCATGCGCTTACCAAAAATGGCGACCAGTTTCGCTTTCACTAATGGGTAGAGCGATAAAACTAATGATTACGAAGCCATCGTTAATTTAAGAAATCGGAACTATCCGTTTCTATTTAAGTCTGTTATTTAAGAATTGTCGGATCTACTTTTGGCCTAATTTCTATGTTTGTCTCGCAAGCGGCGCCTTAGTGAAAGTAGCTCTATATAATTCTTATCTTTCGAATCAAATAACTATAAAATACCGCAGGTATTTTTAACCAGACTATTGCTATTTTTTACTTGAAAGCATTAATTTTACACACGTTACAATAAACTGGTAATAATTTATGGTAGGCATGAGATATGCTCTGTAAGAATAATAATGCCATTTTATTATAATCTTTTTTGGTGAACACGAAGCGCGGGAAAATGTGTGACGCGCAAGAATCCAATCATTCGGCTAGATTTATGACTGTTTTTTATGTCACACCTAAAAATAGAATGTTTACGCTTTCTTCATTGATGATCGTTTTCATTATTTTTTTAAACTGAAAGTATGAATTATTAGTTAGATTTCAGGTTTTGTAACTTGGTATACTTACCCTTTATCAAAATTAAAAGCATAGCATGCTGATTGTGAACAAATATAGTCATAAAACACAAATATAAAGTTACAAACAATGCAATGTCGGGATGTGCCACACCCCCTCAAGAAAACACGTGTTTATTAAGCTGTTTATCTCACTTTACAACAGTAATTAAAATTAATTTTCAAATTTTTATCACTTATTGGGTAAGATTAAGCACATATTTACTAAAAATGAAAAAAAAAACAAAAGCAAATTCTGTTTTAATGAAGGTCACGGGTCAAGTTTTTTTTTTCCTTCTGTCATGTTCAGTGGAGGGTGCCACAGGCTGACCTGACTTTGGAATTTTTTTCAGTAATAATGACTTTGCACAGAAAGTTAAAATATGCTAAATTGGCTTAGTTTACTAGTGTGCAAGCTATTATTGATACATTTTTAATAAAAAAATCATTCTGTAATTCTCATCAAAAAGCCTAATACCGAACTCCACCAGTTTCATTTGCACATTCAATCATCTCTTCCTAATAGTTCTATCATCCGTAACGACAAAAATCATTATTTATTGTTAGTTAGTCTGGTAATATATTGACCTCGAACCCCTTAGAGAGCCTTAAAGTCTGACTCACTGAACCCATGGGGTTTGATTGAATGAAGGAATCCAGGTTATTGAGGTTAGAAACGAGTAACTAGGCCATAGGTAGTAGTTGATAGTAGGGACGATTCACCCCATAGGCCCTACAAAAGATCTAGATCTAGTTAGTAGTTACCCGTGTTGTTGTTTTCGTTTAGTATTAATAATTTAATAATAGTGATAGGGCCTGACTAAAATGATAGCAAGGCCTAGATCTAGATTAGATCACGATAGATCTGTTCTTTAGAATTTTTAATTGGTTAGTTTACTAAACTAAATAAAACTTTTTTTTGGTTTTCTGGTGAGTTTAGTTGTAAAGTTTAGTTTTATTTTATTTTTGTCATTATGGAAGTGGGATTGCTCTAGTGTACGTTTAAACCATCACAGAACATACAGGAACAATTAATTTATAAATTTATTGCATTTGTTATACTGAATCACGTATGATTTCAACAATTTACCCCCATTTTCTGTCAATCTAAACAAGAAAGTCGATGAATCCGCGCGCTTCTTCCCGTAACACAATTTTTTTTTCCAACTGGTTAGTGTAGTTACCAAAAGGTACCATTATGTTAGACTTTTTTTATTACTTATTTTTCTTTTTTCTAACATTTAAATAAAATATTTTAGATAAAGAAAATAACAAATTGAAGTACTATCTAAAAGGTTGGAGCGCATTAGAACTAGAGTATTATTATTTTTTCTATTTTCAGTAATTTCATTAAAAAATCGTGCACGTTATGTTAAATATTATATTATATAGAATCTAGATTATGTCTTATGTTATAGATCTAGTAGTTACAAGTTAGGCCTATCGATTCTGACAAATCAGCATACGTAGCCTATGTGAGTATGTGGTTATTGTAATTAATGATAACGTAAACATTTTAGCTATTTATATGGAAGCCTATGTTATGGTGATTAATAAAGCGCGAGTCAAAACATTTGGTCTGACGTAATCTATATATTACTATATAAATTTCTAACTTGATTGCATTCAACATTTAATCAAGTTTTCCTGTCACGATCAGTTGTCTTCCTCGTGTTTAATATTTTATTAGCGTTAATGCAACAATATCTCAACCACGTTTGCTGTCCACTTTTAACACGCTCATTACATAATAAAGTATTAAAATGTGGAGGATTAATGATGGAATTATCGTTAAAAGAAATTTTTAATGTAAAAATTAATTAATGGTTTAGACCAGGGGTTCCCAACCCCGTGCCCGCGGGCGCCATGGCGCCCGCCGAACGATTCCTACGTGCCCGCCTCTCACTATTCGACAGAGACAGAATCGAAAGTTTGAGGGGGGGGGGGGTGCAAATTGAAAGTTTTGTCCCCGGGTGACGGGAAGGGTAGCTACGCCTCTGGAAGGAGTTTGTCGATTTAAAATAGGTGGTGCCCGCCACCCTACCGATATTTTAGAATGTGCTCTAGAGTAAAAAAAGGTTGGGAACCCCTGGTTTAGACGGTTTATATAGTTTATTAGCTTGCCGCGCATGAGTTTAATTTTATAACACCTGGCATTTAAATTGACCAGTTTCTTCCAGGTATCTCTTCGGTGGAGAGACACCGCCCCATTCCCCCCCCCCCCCGATGCAAGTCTACCCCCGAGAGCAGAGGCGTAGCGACCCTTCCAGGCGCTAGGGGACAAACTTTTCGATTTGCACCCCCCCTCAAGATTTCGATTTGCACCACCCCCCCCTCGAGATTTTGATTTGCACCCCCCCCCTCCTCAACCTCAAACTTTTGATTTGCACCCCCCTCGAGATTTCAATTTGCACCCCCCCCCCCCCTCAAACTTTCGATTTGCACCCCCCTCAACCTTTCAATTTATTTTTCCAACCCATTTTGGCGCCCCCTAAGGTCGGCGCCCGGGGACATATGTCCCCCCCCCCCCGCCGTCCCCCCCCCCCCCCTCGCTACGCTACTGTCCGAGAGAAATAGAATTTATGTACCAAATACGTACCCCCCCCCCCCCCGCTGATATTTTAGCCCCCCCCCCCCCCCTTCCCCACCTGGAGAAAAATGTCTGAAAGAAACACTGAATATAAAATGTAATATATGTAGCATCTAACCAATTTTTACCCTATTATTATTAACGAGCCGACCCTCGGCGTATCACACGCCGCTATTTTGTTGTTTTATTTTCTACTTTTCAGTAATTCATAATTTGTGAATTCGACAGTACCAATGCTGCCACTGAAAATATTTGCTATCAGTAGGTCGTTAAGGACGATAATCCCCCCCCCCCTCCTTTCCCCCAACCTCTACCCTACCCCCCCCCCCCCCCGGAGGGCAGCCTCCTCTTAGTTATCTCCCCTAAGTTTAAAGTCGTTTCAAACAAAATTGTCTGCGCCTAATAGCCGTCACTAAAACCGGCTCTACGATTGTAAACATTTAGCCTGAACCACAGCTCACCAGACCATGTGGGGGTGGGGTAGGTAGTGATATGTTTAGAGGGGAAGAGAGGGGGCTGTTAGGCGCGCTTACAGCTTGGTGTTTTCTAGGGTATCCAAGAAGATAATTATATATATAGATAGTCTGTCGACGACTTGTGACATATTTTTTATTGTCTGCATTGCCTATCAACATATGGGTCTGTTGGTCAGTCGTTGACGTCTTTTTTAAATTTTGTTATTTATTTATTTTTTTTTATTTTTTTTGCCGCGGTCGTTCATAACAGATTTTAACAATTTTAGCTGATGTTTACCTACCACCGCTATTTTTACAAAAAATCCGCGCTCCCTCCTATTTAGAATAAAGTAGATTCTAGAAGCCAAATAATCTAATTCCGACAAGAAAAATACCGCCCCATCCCCTTCCCCACGTAGTCCTTTATATAGCCAGTACCCTTTCTTCCGCGTTACGCCATTTATAGCATAGATGACATTAAGTTTAAACATTTTAGATTACTCGCCAAACATGCCGATTACTCAAGCATAGGCATAGCATTTATCTAGATCTAGATTAGATTTTTTAGATCTCTAGATCTGGGTTTAGATTCTAAATCTAGTAGGATCACTAACCCCCACATTGTTAAATTTATTTTCCAAACCATGACCATTGGTCACCAAGGAGATGTTTTGTTCACGTGACCTTATGTATCCAGTATTTTGCTTTTGGTTAGCTTCCAAGATGGCGGTCATCTTGGAATATAGGCTGATTTCGAAAACAATAGCAACAAAATTCCATATCACGAGGAGGGGCTTGCAGCCATGAATAATTCAAGTAAGACTTCATATTATAATGAAGTCTCAAGTACAGAGACTTCACAGTTGAGTGAAGTTGCCCCGCGTGATAGTGACCAAGAAACTCCAAGACCCCAACTATCTTTCAAAAGCAATGATGATGAAATTTTAAGAGAAGTGGTAAGCATCAGCAATCGGTGAATTATCGGTTTAGGATACTTTGGGACAGTTTAGGACAAACAATAAAATCGGCCGAAGCTATTCAAGCTAGGTCTAGAAATCTAGTAATGGGAAAAATAGGTGACTAATTAAATTTTAGTAATTATTTCGCAATTTTACGAGGATTTATTTTTCAAAAGCTACTAAAATGTTTGGAATTCCTGTTTTAAACAATTTTATTAAAACTTTTCAGTAATTAATATTTTGGTAAAACTTTAGGTAAAACAATGGCATAGTCTGTCACACAGTTCCGGAATCCACCGGAAGTACTGTAAACCATATTTTAATTGGCGTCAGTTTTTATTTTTAATACATAACTTTTAAAATTTTGATAGATTGATTTTAATTACATGTTAAATACTGCTTTACTCATCATTTTATATTGCTAATTATTTTAAAGTGTTTCTGCTAAATATTTTTGCTACTAAACATTGTTCTAGTCATTTTTACTATTTTCGTAATCATTTTTACTAGATCAAAATCTAATCAATTGACTGTCACAAATCCTCTGCAAGTCAAAAATATTAAACAAATGACTACATTTTTTACTACATTATTTATATATTTTTAAATCTACTAATTTAAATCTACTATTATATTTATTCCTTTTTCCCTATGTTGAATAAACTTAAAGTTTAAAAATTAGTACATTAATTTACTACAATCGACTTTATTTATATTTCAATGGTCAAATAAACCATGGTTTACTGTCTTATGATTACAAAACTCAACAAACATTCCTGGATAATTTCCGGCGCTAAACTAAGGTTTTTACCAATATTTTGATCAGATGCAAACAAGCTTGTTAACTTAGCAACTAACCTTTTTAAGTTTTTTTGTGGTAAATTATAGTTAGAATTTCAGGGGAAACCACTATAATTTACAGATTACCTCTGTTTATATAGCAGATCTTGCTGTCAAACAATGCTGTTTAAAGTTAATTAAATTTCTGGCCTATATTAATAAATTTAGACAGTTTGTTTTGTTTTTTATTCAATTATCTATTCTATTTGACAAAAATATATAACAATATGCTTATTTGTATTAAAGCCATTAATTAGTTACCTTTTTTCACACATTACTAGCTTTGGACAAATTTACGTTCCTAAAAAAATAGATTTACATCTAGTAGAGTAGTAGAGTATATATTACATAGCAATAGGCATATTATTTACTTTGACATATTTATTAAATTAGATTTATCTAGACTTGACTAGATCTATATTCCCGCTAAAAATAAAGTATCCTCCAGTTTTAGTTAGTACTAACAGACCTGTTGGGCTTTGCTGCAATCTGATACTATGCACCAAAATGACACAACTTTATTTGAGGGTTTTATCAACATGTTACCCATTGTTTTTGTTGGAGTCTTGTGACCTTTTTGCTAGAATGTAAGCACTATATTTCTTGGATCTTAGTTTTTGGTGTGTGCATTTATCTACTCAACCACCTAGGTGCCCCAGGGCATGCTGTATGAAAACATTGAGTGTACATTGATCATGAGCTTCCATCCCAGGTGTCAGGGGAGTCACAGGCACTCTCTGGAACCACCAGGGGCACTATGTTGGGTTTAGTTATCCAGTATGGTGGCCCACATGTCGCTAGTGTATGGTGCTCTGTAAAATGAATGTAGGTGCCATTGTGCTCATCTGCGAGTCATCAGAAATATCTTGATAAACATTTTTTTAAAGCAAGCATTAATTAATAGTTCCTTCTTTTTAATTGAACATCTATAAAACTTTTCAGTGTTTGAATAATGGAATCAATTACAAAAAGTTATACCTGGAGGGTCCTGAGACAACAGTATTGGAGATGTTCTTCTCTGGTTATCCCAGATTAATTGGGATGCATCATTTTCCAAACTTGACTACGCTCACTGTGATTGGGCAAAGTGTGACTAGATTAGAAGGTTTAAGTGATTTACCAAATCTAGATGAGCTCTGGATAGCAGAATGTCAACTCACAGTTAGTAATTTACATAGTTTTAATTTTTATATCAAATCAAAATATTATAAAATTTAAAATAAATGATAAAAGCATTTTTTTTTTATATTTTGAATCTGCATTTAAGCAGTTTTTTATAGTGTGAGATTTAGTAAAGATTTACTAGCTATTTTACTAGCTATTTTTTTTTAAACTTTCTATTCTATACAGAGAATTGAAGGCTTAGACCACTGTACGTCTTTAACAAAGCTGTATCTTTATGGCAACAGAATTTCTGTTATAGAAAATATACATCATCTGATAAACATTAAAATACTTTGGTTAAACAACAATCTTATAGAACACATTGAGGTAAGAAGTCATGATGTAAATGAAAAGTAGATTTCAGTCATTCCTTTAAATATATTGGTTATTGTATTTTAATTTAACTTAATGCTATTTTTACATAATTTCTTACAGAATCTTCATACTCTAACTAAACTCCGAGAATTGAACATAGCAGAGAACTTGATTGAAAAAATTGGTAATCTTTCAGCATTTTAAAAGTTTCAAATAAGTATATATTTTTTAAACTAAACATAAAAATTAAATTTGTACTTAAAGATGTATAATTTTATAAGACTTCTTAATATGCTAATTTTAGGAAATGCTTTAGTCTACAATATAAATTTGGAGGAACTTAACCTATCTGGCAATCCACTGTGGTCACTAAGGGTAGGTTGTTTACTTTATTAATTAATGCTTATTCTTGTTTTTTTATTTCTTCAGAATATGTTTTCAAACATCTTTTCATATACAATACCATAGGACTTGACATGTCTAGTGAAACTCCAGAAACTAACAAGACTAAGCCTGAAAGATCCCCTCTACCATCCATGCCCTGCAAGTCACCTATGTAACTTCTCTACACATGTATTATACCATCTACCCAAGCTAACCTGCCTTGATACACTGGATATTACCTCCAAACAGCTTGCTGATTTAGTAGAGGTAAAATATGAACCTATCAATCGGGTTTTTTTTTTTTTTTTTAATCTGAAATTTTTTTAAATAAAAATTCGTCATACATAAGTACATTTCTTTTTATTTAACAGGGAACTGTCAATAAGAAAAAGATGTTTTATAATATGAGAGCTAAGACTATCAGACGTAATATGTCAGACCTGCTCATGCGACTTGAAGATACCAGCAAAGAGCTTTTAGAGCTTCCACATAGCAAACTAAAAGTAATAAACTTTGTCATAAAAGAGGTAATTTTTTGTTCCATCTAATTTAACATAAATTTCCATGTACATAATATAGAGTACTCTATTAAAAGGATTTCAAATTTATAACTGACATTCCTGTCATGAATTTTAGTCTAAATTAAAATGTTTTAAAAGGTGGGCTTGACAACATTATCACCTTTTTTTTTTACAGATGGAAAGAGAAATTATGATGGAAACTCAGATTACTACAGAAGAAAATGAAAAAGAAGTAAGTTAAAGATTGGCTATGGAAATTTTTACACTGAATTTTGTTGTAAGCTTTTATTGCAAAGCAATGCTAGGCTTTTGTGGACATATAAGTAATATACACACATATTTTCAAGTTGAAAATGCTCTTCAAAATTTATCACCACAGAACATTTAAAAACATCACATACATTTTTTTTAAGCAAGAATTCTCCCAATAAAACTGTTAATTATTGAAATCATTCTATTTTATCAAATATATTTGAATAAAATATAAATCAAATTTATTTTGGTTTTTTTTACAATTTAGTCAGAAAAATACAAATCCTCCTTCAAAGCGAAGCTGCAAATGATAAAGCAGAAAAAAAGTAAATGGGAAAAAAAGGCACATAAGTAAGTTTTTAAAATTTGAGAAAATAAAAATTTTCAATAGGTAAATACTCTAAGATACAATTAACTTAAAAGGTAAAACATTTTAACTGCAAAATAACATAAATATCCAATATAACTATTATACAGCATTGAGAGTTATGCAAAACTTTCTGAGACTCGTGTACGTCAAATGGCAGATATGATGGTAAAACGTCTGCTAGTTGAGCTAGAGACAGGTGGAAATGTACGATTTGAAGATGGCCTTGCTACTGATCCTTGGTAATTATTAGTACCTAAATAAAGATTTTAAAAATTTATTTACTGCTTAGGAATGAGTTTAAAACATGTGGAAGAGTTTTTTTCTGATAGTGCCTAACTTTCTTTCATAAAGGTAGTAAGACATATAATAATAAAAAAAGGTTTATTGGCTAGATATGTATACAGTTACATATGTTCTTGCTAGGTGGGATATCTTTAAGTGCAGATTTATTATCATGTATTGTTTTTAGATTTTAAAAGATGGTAGGCTACTTCACAGTTTTTTTTACCCAAACAAATCAGGTAAAAAAAAGTTAAAATGCTAAAACTCTAAAACATGAAGAATGGCCCTTGGTTTAAAATTGACTTTATTTTATTAGGTGTTTATGATATTAATAATGTAGCTCAAACGAAATATGTAAATTAAAATTCAGCTATTTTTAAAATCAATTAAAAAGATGTCAATTAAGTTCTGCTTTCACATCTGTTTTGAAAATACTCAGGTTCTCATCTTGTCATGACCTTGTGTTGTCACGATTTTGTGCTTATGACTATCGTGATCTTGGTGTTACTGGCATTAAGATTCATCGCATTACCAGGATCCACAATAGAATGCTTCGAACAAGATTTGATAAATCTATAGTCACACAGACTGAGAGCAACAAAGGAGAATATTACCCAGGGTCAAAGTAGGTCACACTGATTCCTCTTTATTTTGCTGTGTTTAGAAAATTGTAGTAAAAAGTGCTTGCTGTATCCAGAAACTTAGGTTTCATTTTAAAAACTGAAATATGATGTGTTATTATTTTTAAAATATTTCATAATAAAAATAAAATGCTAGAGTTATGATTGTAAATGTTGATTTTGTATAAAAAGTATTTTATGTATTGAAATCAATTATAAAATTTATATGTGGTATTTACTAATTTATTATTTAAAAATAGAAATACAGCCTACAAAAAATCTTTGGAGTATTTGTTTTGGATGTCTGACCCAGCAATGGAAGGTGGCCTAAATGAAAGCTTCAGGATTCCGGAAGAAGGATTTATGAGTGCTGAAACATATTTGGTATTTAAAATAAAATTATTATGCTTTTTTGAACAATCATGAATGTTTTGGTTACAAATACTGAGCATGGTATTTTTAACTTATTTTCATAAAATTCCACAGAAACTAAAGAGAGATGGTGCTGTACCTTTGAGCAACAGCATCAGTCTTGCAGACAGAAGGAGAATTAACTACTGCCTCAAAACAGCTGTTGATTCTGATCAGGAAATTGATAGCTGCCCTTTTAGATATGGTAAAAATTTCAAATGCTTTAATTGATTATACCTGTTTTCACTTTTTGTACTTATATTCAGATTTTAAAAAAACTTTTTTTAGGTGCAATGATTTTAAGATATTTATCTTAGAACTAAGTAATATTATCAAATTTGCATCATATGTCTGAGCTCAAAGTATATATCCACTTTGCAGGTCACTTGATTGTTGCAAAGGCACATCTTGGAAAAAGTGTGATTGCCAAAGATGACCTATTGTAATTATAATTATTGCTAAACTTATTTTTTATTTATCTGTTTTAAACTTAATTTAAATTTAAAATTTCATGCAAGTAGTTGTAGTTGATAATTTAATTTGCAAAATACAACTAGCTATATATATATATATGTATATATATATATATATATATATATATATATATATATATATATATATATATATATATATATATATATATATATATATATATATATATATATAATATTTTTTTAAAGAATTACCATGGAACACTATCCTAAGATGGATTCTGTTTTCAAACCAAGAAAAAAATGTATACCAAATGAGAGTAAGATTTACAATGTATTGTCATAGTATAAAAAATGTATGTCCTAATACTTTTATCAAATTGCACTTAGCTTTGTTTTAGATTAACTTTAACGTTACCCTTTAAATAAATTGTTTTTTTTTTTGCAACAAATTAAACAGAAAAGGCAGAGGAGGATGGCTGTGAGTGCAGTTCAAGACAATGTGAATGGTATATTTTCAATAGCAATCTTGTTCTCCCTGAATACATTATTGATTTTGAATATATTACTCGGGTTAGTGAGGATTCTCTTTTTCTCTACTATAAATATAAAGTAAATTTGTCATACAAATAGATGTAAACAAATTCAATTCAGTTTTTAAGTTTTCATATGGTTTTTTTATTACAATGAAGTCTTATATCTTTCAATAGCTGAAGTCTCAATGTCCTTTTCAACATCTGAATGAAGATCTACTCAGCGAACAACCCCAGAAAAACAGTATACCTGTGGTGTGGCAAGGGGAAGATGATAGTGACAGTGACAGTGATATCATTAAAATGGAGCCAGAAATAAAATCAAGACAAAGGTATTGTGTGAATACTTTTTTCCCTTTGCATAATTTAAAAAAAAAATGTGTATATTAAACTTTAAAAATTTATTAATTTAAAGTTATCAGTTATTTGTTGTTAAGATTGATATAGGACAATATTATTAACTTCTATATGTGATTCATAAACCTCAGAGTATCTTTGCTGACTGAAAGGGTGATACTACAAGCTGCCCATGCAACAGCTCTTGATAAAATCACAGTGTTGAACCTTCATGGTAATGGCATAACTAAGCTCCGACCATTGCAAGCTCTCAGCAAACTGGATGTGCTCATTGTTAGTTTTAATGAACTAACTCGACTGGATGATTTATCAAACATGGCAAGTTATTACATTGTCATTCTACGAATATTAGTAAAACGTTGCAAGCTATTATATTGTCCTGCTATGAATATTAGTAAAACATTGCAAGCTATTATATTGTCCTGCTATGAATATTAGTAAAACATTGCAAGCTATTATATTGTCCTGCTATGAATATTAGTAAAACATTGCAAGCTATTATATTGTCCTGCTATGAATATTTGTAAAACATGGCAAGTAATTGTCTTACCCTGCTATGAATATTTGTAAAAGAAGCGAGCCATATTATTATTGTCCTGCTATGAATATTTGTAAAAGAAGCGAGCCATATTATTATTGTCCTGCTATGAATATTTTAAAACATGGCAAGCAATACCCTGGTATGACAGATCTTTAAAAAATGTGTCACTTGTTCTTTTTCTTCAGCAAATGACAGTTTTAGATGCAAGTTTTAACAAGATTTACACATTGGATGGAATGAAGGTTGATAAACATAAATCAATTAATGACAAGACATGTAATATTTAGTGTTATGACTATTTAAAGAAAATAGTAAATGAAGACATAATATGCAATATATAAGGCCTAACACATTTGTATCTGTTTCTTTAGGATAAAAGAGCTAAGCTGTGTGCCAAAATATATTTTTTTCTCAAAACCACAGATTCCTTGGAAAAATAATTTTTTTTTTTTATTCTTAGGGGATGACTAAGTTAAAAGAGTTAAATGTTTCATGGAACAAGCTGGTCAACACACGAGAGGAGCTCTCCATCCTGCGAAAACATCTTAGCTCCCTGCATGTATTAGATTTCCGGAACAATCCCTGGTTAAAGGTTGTCAATTTTTTCTGTGTGTAAGCGCTCTTATGGTTTCTTTCACTACATTATTAGTAGACTATGCACATCAAAGTGTTAGCTTTCAGTGAGATTTTTCAGCAATTTATTAGAGGCTGACTGTTTTAGAAAAAATAATTTTGAGAAGCATTATTTGCAGATCTAAAAAAGTAGAATGAACTAAGTTTTGACTGTTTAAACTTCAATAAATGTTGATTTAGGTATATTATTAACATGCAATAAAATATAACCTAGATCTATATTGCAACTAATTTGACTAATTTATTTTTTAAAATAAACGTAAATGACACTTTATCATCATTTGTATAATTTTGATTTTTAAATAATATTTTTTTTAAAATAGCTTAATTTTCTCTTAATAAGTAGATATACTACTAATAATGAAATATTTATTTGCAATAAATATCTTATTAATTAGTCAATACATAAACCGATGGCTACGCATCATTTTTTCTGTTTATATTGGGTTTTTTTTCAACACATAAATAACAAAGTTTTAAAAGCTTTAGTTTTTATGAACTGTTTATGACTTCCCATTTTTTTTGGCTTAGAAAAAAAAAGTAATTAGAAAAAAGAAATTTCACTACATAAAAAATAATGTTTTTATTATTTCATATTGTCTCTATTATCTTATGCTTTCTATCACTGTTTCCACTATCTTTCTCCCTCTAAATCTATGCATAGGTGTGTGTATTTAGCAGATTACTAATTATAAGAATAAGCCACTTCAAGAAAAGTATTACTAAGAACCTATAATTTTACTTATGTGTAAAATTAATCTGTAGACAGTTCTCATATTCTTTAATGCTCACCTCTAGTTTTTCTCTTAAATTTAATGTGACATCTCATAATACAAATTTAATGCACAAGTTGATTGCTTCAGCACACTAGTTTTTAAGAAATTTGCTTCCATTTGTTAATAGGGCCCAAAGTGTTGAAACTTACTCCAATGTTTCTTAGGCTAGGGACCTTCGGCTGCGTGCAATAGGAAGACTTAGAAATCTTGAAGTTCTTGATGAAAAGAAAGTGGAAGATGAGGAAGCTGCTCTGGCACTCCGTTGTGCTGCTGGCTCACGGATTTCACAGCTGTCTTTGCTAACTCACTCGCGCACGGATAGCACTGTCCCAAGATCTTTGTCCTTAGGAGATTCTGCTCATGTTATCACTATGATCAGTAGGAATCGCCCTCTGAAGACATGTGAAACTGATACCAAGTGGTATTCGCAGGTATTTCTCTTAGCTTCTGTTTACCTAATGGTTAGGCCCTATTTTATTTCATATCCAAATTTCAATTCACCCTTAGCATTTCAATTCACCCTTAGCATTTTTTTTCAATATATTTTTTATTATAGATAACAACGTTGAATCTTGATAATCAACACATTACAAAGTTGTCCAACTTGGAAAGACTTGAAAACTTGCTGTGGGCTTCTTTTAATAACAATGATCTTACTCGGATTGAGGTATACATATGTACTTATACATATAGATCAGTGTTTCCCAATCTGGGGATGCCCAGTAGGGAGAGGGGGGGGGGAATTTGATTGTTTATGGGGGAAATTTGAAAAAAAAATTCACATTAAAGTCTCATAATGCAAATATAAATTGTACCCTTGCAACTAGGTAAGTCTGGGGAAAAAGCAAGAATTTAGTATAACCATTAATATCAGCATTTCTAAAAAAAAGGTTTTTGAAAAAGATGACAAAAATATGAAAGACATTACTGTTATTAGACAAATAGACAAAATAAGTGAAGATATTGAAATACAACTTAAAGGAAAATTGAATATAATTGATATATGCTAATAAAAAGATCCAGCTGGATATTAAAAAAAGAGAGAGAAACTTGAGCCTGAAGTTAGAATAGTACAAATAAGGTTGGGAAACACTGATATAGATAAAGTAATCTGTGTTAACTATTCTCTCTATTGCACATCAATTTGATTTTTAAGCCAAGAGGATTTTTACTAAACATTATTAACAGCATTGAACTTTTTTTTAAAAATATTATAATAGAAGTACTAAAAACAGTTAGCAACACACATAGAATACATACAATTCAACCTGTTTAATAATTTGGTGCTGTGATCTCTAGTGGGGGTTAGTGTAGGAATTGGCTCACCACCCTAAAACAAAGATTTATATTTGAAAATATTTTACAGGGGCTTGATAGCTGCACCCAACTCCAAGAACTTTCATTAACAAACAATTGCATCGCCCATCTGGAAGGTCTCAGTAAACTGAGTTGTATTCAGAAACTTGATCTCTCACATAACTGTTTGACTAGCATTGACACAGGTGTCCTAGCAAATATGTTATCCTTAGCTTCTCTGTCCTTGGAGTCAAATCGCCTGACCAGTCTGGCTGGACTTCAAAAGTGCAATGCATTAACAGAGCTCTACATTGGGAATAATACCATCTCCAATATCAGAGAGGTCTTTCTTCTAAAGGTAAATTTTATTTTTAAACACAAAAAGCCAACTTTAGTATTAATCATTGATGCATTTTAAAAAAATGTATAAATTTTAGTAGGATTTATTTTTATTGAAATATAAGGCTAATGTAAATTTATGAACACAAATTTCAGTCATTGTCCAACCTGGTAATACTGGATATGTATGGAAACCCAATGGTGACTGCTGTAGAAAATTACAGGTTGTTTGTCATTTATCATTTGAGATCCTTGAAGGCATTGGATGGATCTGCCATTGTAAGTTTTAGTTTTAATACAATCACTTCTAGCAGTAGTTCTTAGCCGTTCATCCAGCAAGCTTATTGTTATATAGTAGGTCCATAGCAGGAAAAAAATTAGATGGTTAATTAAATGTGTAATTATTTTCTTACTTTATGTTAAGTTATAATACTGCTCAACAGCGGTCTTTAGATCTAAATTTTTAGAATTTAATTTAATGTAAATAATATGACGAAGTAAAATACATGGTCTCCACAAACAAAAACTATATGAAATCAATTACATATGGCATTCTTAAAACAGCATCGAAAAACATAATAGCATTGTTTCTTCCATTGTAAAATGAAGGCACAGAGAAATATACGCAAGGAAATGGCTTTGTATCAAAAAACACAGGCCACTTTAGATCTGCTTTTACTTGATTTGAATAATTCAGCTTCTCAGGTGACTTGCGCAGGGTTTTCAGTCAGTTGGGAAATTGTATACTTGACTTGTTATAACGGATAAATAAATATCATTGTGTCATTTCAAACTGCAACCATATTTTGTTTATTTGGAAAGTTTAATGTTTAGGTTTCATTAATATGAATTCTCTTAAAAAATAATTCACTCATTTTTGAGCTCATTATGAAATGTTTCTTTTGATCTGTCAAAGAAAACCCTGAGCATTAAACTGTTCCAGATTGCTCATTTATTGTTGCTTCTTTTTTTCATGCTGTTTTTTTCCTGTTATTTGCCTCTTTTTAAGTACACCACCCTCTCATTTTTGTATTAATTGATCAAGTATTTACTAAACTTGCAATTGTGAGAAATGTGATAAAGTTTAGTAATTAAGTTTTTTTTTTTTTTTCTGTTCTATTCTTTTAACTGCAAAATTTATAAATTTGAGGTGTTTTTAAGGTTTTTTAAAAACATTTCATCCAATTATTAGATAAACAATCCTTTTTTATTTCAATAAATTGAAGGTTTTTATCCAATATATGTTATTTTAATTAGTCCTTTTAATTAATCATAGGAAATGCAGGATTGTACGATGGCAAAGGATTTATTTGGTGGGCGTCTCACTCCAGATTTCATTGCTGAAAGGCTTGGCCATTCTATCTTCTCAGAAGTTAGAGAATTGGATTTGCCAAACTGTGGAATAAGAACAGTGGACTTAGGTTCAGAACTTTTTGTGAATCTTCGCAGGTGAATAAAATACTCCATCTAATGCCTATAGCTACTTTAAAGTTAACTATAGAAATATAATAAATAAATAATCCTTTAACCCTTATTGGGGTTGTTTGGGCATCGCAGAGTGGTGTGTCTAAGGGCTATGTGTCGCATGGAGGTGCCCACCCTTTTCCATGCCTAACCACAGGTAGATGCCTCTGTCTAGGTGGCTCGCCTAGGTCATGAACCTAGATGAGTTGCTGTCCCTACCTATCAAACCTCATCTGCTGGGGAGGGGGAACTCTGGTCTGATGTGGCTGTCCCGACCACGCCGACCCCATAGTTAATTATACAAACTGATTAAATATTAATCTATCTCTTTCGAAAACTAACAATTTTTATCATAAGCACATTTTTTAAAAAATTTTAGACGAGAAATTTATGTTTTTCAAATAAGCACTTGAATCAACTTTACTGCCTTAAAATGTTTACATTTTCTTTTGCTTTCTCAGTGTTAATCTGGAGCACAATAATCTCCTGTCTTTCAACGGGCTGATCTATTTAGTAAATTTAAGGGTGAGTTTGATTGTAACAATAAGTTCTACCTAAATGTTGTAATTCTAGAGTAATCTAGAGGGATGACATCTTACCAGTTTCCTTATCGTTCTTATGTTTGTCTACTATAAAAAAAACCCACTAAAATTGTTGGCCTTTGTGCCAGTAAATACTTCTAAAATAAATTAGGAAACGGCAGTTTAATCTTCAGATTTTGTTTCTTAGGTACTGTGCTTGAACCACAATCACATAGAGAGCTTGTTACCAAAGCCTAAACAGTCTCAACAAGCTCTGAAGAAACCTGCCATCAGCACCACATCAAAGAACGCAGATAACCTGCCTGCACCTGGAACACCAGTGTTGGAAAATCTTGAAGTTCTACACCTAGGGTAGATAATACTTGAAAAATTATATATTCCGTTGTTTTATCTGATAAAATATTAATGTACATTTAAAACCAGAATTAAAATTCCACATAAATAAAATTGAAGATTATATGAAAATTCTACTAACAAAATTGCTTAAGCTATAACTACAAACCTCTTCATACCACAGAGTATTTGTACATATTTTTCTGTCTTAGTTATAATGGTATTAAAGATATGGCTGCTTTGCAACTTAATCGTCTTCCTTCACTCAAGGCACTGTTCTTGCAAGGTACATTTTTTTAAATGTATCAAAACTTTAACAAAAGCATATGTAAAAATTACTTTAAGTGATGTTCTGTTTAAATGTTGTTTGAACTTTAGAGTAAAATGTCAGAATAAAGTTATAATTTAATTTCTCTATGGAAATCAGACAATTATATTTTAAATCATTAATTTATTCTCAGGTAACGAAATCACCAAAGTTGAAGGTTTAGATGGTTTGCATGATTTAAGGGAACTAGTTTTAGACAAAAATAAAATCAAACAGCTAACAGAGTTTTCTTTTGCAAACCAATGGAATCTTCAAGTAAGTTGTCAATATTTCATCAAATATTAATTATTGCCATTAAAAATGGTTAGTATAGTTACTTATAACCCTGTTTTTTTTTATTTACAAGGAGTTGCACATGGAAGAAAACCGTCTGCGAGATCTCTCTGGTCTCTCATGCTTAGAAAACTTGATGCGGTTATATTTAGGCTCCAATAGAATTACAGAGCAAATGGATTTAGAAAAGCTGGACTCCATGCGTTATCTGACAGAAATTTCCCTAATTAATAACCCTGTGAGTTTGCATTTAAAAATTTGTTAAACTTATGTTTTTTTTAAAAGCAATCTAAATGATACACTGGTTCTCATCTTAACAAAGTTCTCTTTCTCTATACCTTTTTTCAAATTATTTCTTAAAATCAAGTAAGTGTTGCATTTTTTTATTCTTACTTATAATAAAAAAATAATAGGGTATGTTATCAATTTTTGAAAAACCCAGGTTTCTCGACGGATGATCCATAGGATTATATTGATACATCGCTTGCCTCGCTTGACGGTTATAGATGGCATTACAATTACTGATGAAGAAAGGTCGAGGACAGAACTTCATTTTTCTGATCAGGTTCTTCAGCTTGTAAGTTTGAATGTTTCAAGTTGAATGTTTTAAATTTTGTAATCTTGTATTAAGGGGTGTTGTAATCTTGTATTAAGGGGTGGTGTGGCCTAGCGGTAGAGAGCTAGACTGCTAACCTAAAAGTCTCAAGTTCAAATCCAGGTTCAAATAAGTAGAACTTCCCTGAGTCCACCCAAACTCTGATGGGTACCTAACTCACATTATGGAAACAAGGGCGATTGGATGTAGTGCTGACCACATTATCCCCTTGTGTGCGGATGTCATTGAAATAGATGAACACTACATCTGCCCCATGTGTTTTGGGCACAAACAGGAAATGATGATGATGAATATTGTATTATTTTCTGTATTCCCTCATTAGGCAGCACCACCTGTGATTGGAGTGGAGAGTGGCTTCCCAGGTTTAGGTCTGTATAAGCCAAGCGTTCAGGTCAAAGTAACAAACATGCAACTAAACTCTGCATCAATGTGGGGCAATACCACTTTCTCAGAAGAAGATAATGGACAAAGAGGTTTGTAGTTCTATGTTACATTTTGTTTTAAAATTTTCAAAGATACACGTCTGGATACTTTTGTCAATTAAAACCTAATCGAATTATATGGATTTCAGCCCGTGCAAAACGACCTACCCGTGATCCTTCAAGACAGCCATTTGGTCTTTCTGGGGGAAACACTTCAATGGCACAAAATAATAATAGCAACAGCCGTATTCAGTACACATACCTTAATCAAACAACTTACAATGGACAGACGCCAGAATATATGGAAAGTATCAACAGGTCTGTTAAAAAAATGTATCCTTTTTTCTTTTTTTAGGAAATTAGTATAAATGTATAAAAATAACATTAAAAAGATGTCTTTTTAAATGGTATATTTTGAAATGTTCTAAAACTGTTTGCCTTCATTTTTTTTTCAGATTGAACCAGCAGAGAGGCAACAAAAGATAGCTATTTGATCTTGGGCAATTAATCTTCAAGACTATTTATGTCTTTAAATCAGTATAATAATATAAAATTTTCCTTTCAAATATAGTTGACATTTTAAATTTGAATATTATAATAGGATAACAGTCACTTTATACTAAAAGGTATTGGATTAGAATGTCAAGTTTACTTTATGCCCTTACAATTATGTTAAAGATTCTCAGGTGTTTAAAATCATGCTTCTTTTTTATTGAGAATCATCAAATCCAAGTGATGATTTTTTGAATACTTTTGAAATATATCAAGGTTTGATCTTTGGAATAATGATATGTTTTTTTAATGACTAGATAAGAATCAATATATGATAAGTTTTTTTGAAAAATATTATTTAATACTGTTGTGTGCTGTGGTTTTTCTGCCTTAAATCATTTTGTAACCACATGTGATACTGCAATGGAGAATAATTAATGTTAAAATGTGTATTCACTTCAGTGAATAACTGAAATTTTTTCAATTTTTTTTTTAATATTAACTTGTGTGCAATAGTGCTGCTTCGGTGAATTTTAAAAATTCTTATTTATTCAACTGGGGGTAAGTGTAAAATAGAATATCGGAGTATTGAGTATTATAAATGTACAATTACTACTTTGTTTTTCAAAATGCTACAATAATTAACTAGTTTACATCCGTCATCTGGGAATCAAAAACATTTTCATTGTTTTGTGAACATGCAAGATATATTTTTTTTAATGTATTAACAATGACATTGATAAGTTATTCACTTTGGAACATAGATGTGCTTAAATGTTTACAGTGTGAGGGTGCATATATCTTTGTTTCTTAAGGTGTATTAAAAATAGTTCACGTGACGTAAACGCCATATCAGTGCCAGATGTAAATATTTTTATTTCAGAATCAACTTTGATAAAAGCATCCATCTTTGAAATATTTACTTTCTAAAGAAAGAATGCACATTTTTATTTTATTAAAATGTTTGTAAAAAAAATTTAATTGGTCAGTTTTATCACCACTACAAACTTTTTGCATGTGAGTTTTGAAATATTTTTTTTTTACTTTGTTTACAAATATTTCAAGCCATTCCAACCCAGTACATTTTATCAAAAGTAATTACTTTTAAAGATTGTTTATCTGGCAACTACTGTTTATAATTGTATAAAAAATAATAGTAAGTGAGCATTATGTTAAAATGCTGATTAAAGAAAAAACAAACTTGTTGATGTTTATTTGCCGCAAACTTTCAATATTTTTTCATTACTTAAAATTCTTCTGTCTTAAAAATGCAAATAATCAATAACTTAACTAACCCTGTCAAATCAGAGGGCTTTTAAACTGGATTATTGATTGTTTATCGCATTGAATACACATGCATTGAACACACAAACCCTTGATACCTTTTGGCCATTGAAACAGATATACTCTACTTTATTATCCGAATAGGCATTATTCTTTTTGTTATAAAGATTTTGTGAGTCATGAATTGAACTGATACTTTCTACCTATATGTGCCCTTTTTTGTGTTAAAGTATGCCTATTTCAAATAGTATTTTTATAGTTATCATGCCCATATTTCTATCTCCCCTCATTCTCTAGGAACACGCCCTTTCCCTCCCACATACCATGACATACTTGGTTGTACTCCAAAAGTTTGTTTTCACTTTTCCCAGAATATATTAATTATTATTACTGCGTTGACACGCTCGCGAGGACGACTTCTGGTCTGAAGCGGGAGACCTTACCGAGAGCGGGGTCGACCTCTGCACCATATGCCACCCCAACGTCGCTTCTGCACCCCTACTCGTATAACACTCGCAATGTGTTAAACATATTCATTCCCCCTTTGTGTTCTATCCTATGTGCACGATCCCTTCACTTCACGTCCATGTTTAAGTTGACTTTAAAACAGATTTTAATGAAGTCACAAAACGAGCTGATCGATGAAGCAGCTGTTTATGAATTGAGTGCTGGATGACTCATTGCTCACTGTGTTTCACAAACTGATTTGTTACACAGGTGTTGTTATATATTTAGGTGAGCAAATATTTTAGGAATTCGGCTATAGCAGGTATGTTAATTCAATGCGTAGGCCTAGGTAGTATGGCTTATATCATTAATCGCTACTTAAACGTAAGAGTAATGATTTTTTAAATGCCTATATGCAGCCTACAATCTATATTATTTTAAATGTTGAAGATTTATTTATTAGAGATGCATCCCATCCAATTGTTACTGTTGTGGTCAACTTGAAATTACAAATAATGATATAGCCTAACACTTGCGACTCAATACAGTCACAACCATGACCCTGAAATGACAGAACTAATTCAGAGGTTCCCCACTGGGTTCAATCGAACCCCAGGGGTTCGATGAATCAGTTTCAGTGGAGGTTAAGACACATCCGATTCATACGTTTTGCGATCGGAGTTTGTCAGTGCGGAAGATAGAACCAGGATTGAATAGCCCCCAGATCTACCGGGGAAAATCCCAGCAGTGGGCCCCCAGTTTTAAAAATCCCATTGGGCCCCCCGTTTAAAAAAATTCCAGTGGACCCACATGTACGGCGCTGTACTTGACCAATTACTCAGGCTATTAGTGCTTTTATTTTTAAAAAAAAATGTTCACGAGAATTTCCATCCAGCTGAGGGTGAACCCTTGACACCACGACACATACGCCACATCGTGTCAACGTCACCCGAACAGGCGCGCGTTGATTGTGTGTGTATAGGTACTGTGACGAACATACTTTTTATTTCTATTTTCTGGGCCCAGTAGTCGACTTGTGACTATCGTAATGGTGAGTCGTGTGATTTCTTTAATACTAACTATGACGAGCAAAAAAAAGGAAAAGGGTCGTATGAATATGTTCTATATGGATTCGCATGTAGGCCTTAACTATTAGTTGGGAACCAGATGCGAGTAAGCGTCCCTACTGCGTGCTTTGCAATAACAAGTTGAGCAATTCTAACTCTAGATTCTTATGTAAACTAAGAGAACACTGCCTCAATCTGCATGGAAATGGAACATACAAGAACACAAGTCTCGCTGAATTCGCAAATCTGAAATGGCGTCAGAAAGTCAACCGCAGAAGTCACACTGATTTGCATTGAATATTCATTATTAGGCTTTTGTTTTTGTGTGAAAATCATATTTTATTTGTTTTATTTTTTGAACACAGTGATGTTGATGCACGGTTCATTTTTTTGTAACAGTAAAATAAATACCTATGTTTTGAATTTGGAAATAAAATCCTAATTTATTTTTCCTATTGAGAAAATTTCGACGAATGCGCATTATAATTTTATGATGCTGGTGGAGTTTGGTACATCCTAAAAGGTTAAGAATCACTGGCCTAATTTAATGCGTGAAAGAGCAGAAAACGATCTGGGTTCATCCATGTAATTAGGCTGTATAGCCTACTTGGTTATAATATAGGCAGACTTAGTCAAGGGCGTGGTAGGTTTAGTAATGATCTGGCTTTAACAGAATGGGAAAAAAACAGATAACATTAAAACTTTCACTTATACAAAAATAACTTTTGCCATAGACTTTTTTTCTCCGGCGGGGGTGGACACTGGTAAAAGTATACATTTTCTATTAAAAATCTATTTCGTTCAGGAGTGGGGGAGGTGCAGTGGACGTGTTTGGGGAGCGGGAAGGGGGCGGTAGGCGTGTTTCGGGGGGGGGGGGTGGAGGCGAAGAGATGCCTGAAAAGAAAACTGCTACATATGTGATCTAATAGTTCCACTTGCTCTTCAGCTAACGAGGTTCGCTATTTACAAAAATATACAATTCAAGAACTTGGTTTGTTGGCGATAAAACATCGTACACACCAGAACTGTTTTTATAAATTTTTAGTGTACGGTCTAGCGAGTAAGTCGCTCTCAATGGTAGACCTAGATCTGTTCTCCTAGCAAATATGACTAAATAGGCCGATTCGATAGCCAACTCTATACTCTGAAAATTTAGTTTCAGGGCTAACTAAGGGTTGGGCTTGGGCAGTGGCGTCATTATGTCGGCGCGATAGATCAGGCTACCCCTCCGCTGCAGAACTACAAGGCCTTCCATTAAAACTATAAGCACTTTGGTGTCACCCCCCTCCCGCATGGTGTCGCCTTGTGCCTATTGTTATAAATTTCATAAACTATTAAACTAACTGGAAAAGCAGAATTTCCCATTAAAATTATATTTGGCTTTGGTGTCACACCGCACACCCCCGCCTTGTGACGCAACTGGACATAGTGTAGCGTTTACATTGGCAAGTTATGTTTGTAGTTAACTTACTATTACCACCAGTAACTTAACATTCCTATTTTTAAGACTCTGGCATAACAAATACCACGAGAGAGAAATGCCCCCCCCCTTGATAACAAAATCTACGCCACTGGATAGTGTACAGAACTAAGGGACGCTACTCTTGTCGTAAAATAGTATTAATTTTATTGATTTTCACCCCTGCTAAATTTTCAGCAATTTCCCGTTTGTCGTGTTTACTGTTTAATCCCGTATTTTAATTTATTACCGACAGTAAGTTAAAATACATTACAATTAAAACTTATTTTTAAACTTACTTTAGTCTAGCTCACGAAAATGTGTCTAGATCTAGTTCTTGTAAATCTACGAATAAGCTGGATTCTCTAGTAGTGAAGTCTAGTGTGCTAGGAATCAGCTCGATTCTACGCAGCCCAAGCCAATGTGAATGACTCAGGACTCAGGACTCAGTCGAGAGTTTTGAGTCCAGGAAGGTCTAGAATCTAGATCTAGATCTAGAGATCTAGATCTAGATTTCTAGAATCTATTAATTATTCATATTAATATTATAGCAGAACTCCTGGGCCAGTGTGTTGCATTGAGTTAATTGATAATAATTGTTTAAGTTCAAATTACTGATTGATTACCTCAGCCTAAGCTTAATAAATAAAATTTAGATCTAAGAGGGCCTAATAATTATAATATTTTCCGTACTACACACAAAAATGTGCAGTAGTCAGTAGGTAGATCTAGACTAGATCTAGAATCTAGATAAAAAACCTGATCTATTAAAATTATGTAATTTAAGTATTGCTGATGACTAAAACAGTCTAAACTCTAAAGTCTAAAGCCAAGCCTGTGGCCTATTGTAATATATAATATATATATTTAATAATTTTTTAATTATATATAGTTAGGGAGTAGGCCTATTTTATATGTTGAGATTCTAGTAATATATATTATATAAACTACCTAGATCTAGATCTAGTATAAAATAAGTATTTTTAATTCAAGTAAAATGGCAAAAAATATTGAAATCAAATGTCATTTTAATATTTGGGAAGTTTTATAACAACATTTTGTTACTAAAGGTTATATGAAACAAATAATAAAGAAGTCAAAGAACGGGGATGGCGTGGCCTAAGCGATAGAGTGCTAGGCCGCTAACCCGAAAATCTCGTGTTGGAATCCGGGTCCAAGTCAGTAGAATATTACTGAGTCAACCCAGCTCTTATGGGTACCTAACTCACATTAGGGAAAGTAAAGGCAGCTGGGCAAAGTGCTGTCCACACCTTCCCTTCTAAAGAGGATTCTTTACTTTTACTTTACAAAGAATTTTTATTACATATAGATCTGCCCCTAAGGAAGTAGTTAATTGAATTTTTTTTTCATTTCTAGATACTGCCTTTAAAATGGCCAATTGTGGGTGGCTTTGGAGTATCATCTGGTTCATAATCCTCATAGTGTTTGGCTGGCCAATTGGATTTCTGTGCGCCATTATCTTTGTCATCTTTAGTCCCTGTGCAGCCTGTTGCTCTGGCTGCAATGAACTTATTAACTTACTTGAAAGAGGTGTTAAACTGCCTCTAACTTGTGCCCAGAATATGGTGTCTGGCAAGTCCATGTGTTAATTAGATTCCATTCATCTTAGCATGTATTAGAAAAGCTAATCTCTAATTTTTTAATTACCATTCACTGTATTTTATTTCATCAAAGTCCTAATGAAAACTAATTTTTTCCCCTAAAAGCTTTAGGTGCATATGCAATTTTTTAACAACACAATTTTATCAACTCCAAAAGAATTCCACAATTTTTCTCTGTATATTCAATATCTGGAGAAAACATTTTTTTTTTTTTTTTTTTTTTTACTATTTTTTTACACTGTAACTAAATGAGTACTAAGTTTGTTTTAGCTTGATAATAGCTTAATTGCACAAATAAAATTATTTTCTGGGGTTCATAATACACTGACTTGAAAATAATTACAAGCTTTTTAAAAAATGAAGATTATTTCAACTATCAAGCCCAAATTATTGTATCTCAGAAGTAATCTTACTTCCCTTTATTAATAAAGAATTCTCAACAAAATGAAAAACAACAGTGTCTCAATTTTAGAAAACTGTTAGGCTTATATAGCATAATATTAATAATAACTAGGAACATTATAGGTCTATATGTTTTGTATTACTTTTAAATTTATGGTTGAGATAGGTATTTTAGTTATTCAAATTACAAATTTCTAGACCTGATACATATAGCTGTATTGTAAATTATGATCTTCAATACTTTATTGTATTTTTTACATTTTTTGTTATTTATCATTTATTATACACTTACAATATGTTGTAATAATGGCTCATTTATGTAGTGATATATAAATAAAAGCCAATGTGTAAAACTCAGTAATCATTGATTAGTAAATCATGTCAAAATACAAATTTGATATTTAAATTAAATTGATTTTATTTTAATGAGTGTATGTTAATCAACTTTTGTTTTACATCATTTTTATGTAAGCTTTTATATTAAGAGATTTAAAAACAAAGTATTTAAAATTTAAGAATCAGATAGGCCCTATTTCAATATTTTACAGAATCAAATGGGGTATGTCAAACATGGCAGGATCTATTATTGGAGATTAATTTATAAACTTCCAGGGTGCTTTATTTCATATTTATTTATAGGCTGATGTTTACTTAACCCTTTGTCTATGCTTTAATTTGTCTGTGTTTTTTATGCTACTTTATAAATGTAGTTAGTATACCCTCAAAAAACTTTTGTTTGTGTATTCTATTTTGCCAACTACCTAACTTAAAAAAATATTGGATAGTAATAGTTCTGTATGCAATAATGCAAGAAAGTAAAACAAGCCAAAGTTTTGTAAAGTCAAATACACCGATTATAAAATTTCATTTAAAGGCATCATGATTGCTTATTTAATTAATGGCTATAGAAGCAACCTAATTTCATTCAACCCCTTTGTAATATTCCTTTTGGTGTGTCAGTCAAAGTTTGACTTGGTATTTAGAATCTAACTTTCCCCAAAACTGTTATAAAATATTGTGATCAGGATTAAAAATCTAGTAAAAATGTTTTTGTCTGATTTAATAGTGGAGAAGAAACTTGGGTTAATGTAATTTATTGTACAATAACTTTTTTTAAGATGAGAGTCCATTTTAACTAGATAAATGAATATATTCTTATAAATAGACATTCACACAGTTGTAGCTTACTATTTATTAATAGCAAAAAAGTATGATAAATTGTAAGTTCCCTTGTGTGTATTTAGCCGTTTTGTTTTATTTTACCACCATTTTAAGCATTTACCACGATTGTCTAACACTATTTTTAAAATATTAAAATGTTAGATGTCCAAAAAGGGATTTCTGAGAACCTGGTTAACATTTTAGTTAGGACTGATTGTTTCATTGCAAACATGTTCCCTTTTTTGCTCAACCTGAATGTAAGGACCAGTAAAAACTAGAATTTTATGCTATTTCACTTTTGGTTTTTTTACTCATAAAAGTGCCACATCTAGTCTCATTTTTACTATATTTTTTACTGCTGCATTTCATTTTTGTTTGACTGGATCTGTAAATTGTATTATTGGTGTTGATGGAATACGCCCAAAGCTTTAGTCATGTCTCTCTTTCGTAAGACTGATTCTCTATACATTTTGCAATAAATATTATATTATTTCTTGCCAATCTACAAAAAAAATATACCTGTATCTTTTTCAGTTTTGATTAAATTATATCTTGTACAAAAATCTGATCTACTCAGTGCTTTAAACATATCCTTCTGTAATACTGCCTTACTCAGCCATGTTCATGATAATGCAGCCAGCAGGCCTACTTATTTTTTTTATTTTTTTTTGTGTGCTTATTTTTACACAATTCAAATACATTCTCTCAGTATTGAAGTAGTGATGAAACTTGAGTCCATTAAACATTGATCTTATTTATGGCAGTAGCTTCATGGACAGAACAAATGACACCAGTTTGGTTTTAAAAGTCCCTATATTTTCTTATTCATTTTTAAATACTATTTCCTCTCATATTTCCTAATGAAGTAGAAACTTGTATTTTCATCCTCTCAGCTGAATGGTATCTAAAGAACTGATAATTAAAATTAGGGACAAAGATTGTTTTGCTAAATGAACCTATAGTTCTACTAATAAGTTTTTAAGAATCTAATTTAGATAAGCTTTAATACAAGTGTCTTTTTCATCTATGAGGTTTCACCCAATTAAAATAACTTGTTTGGTCTTACAGTTTAAAATGCATTTTAAAAACTTAAATTTATGTTAAAGAAAAAATTCATGGACTTTCAAAATATTTAATGGCCTATGTGAGAAAAATTGAAAAAGTGCTGCTGAATTAGATTTAGAAAAGCAATTGTTATTGCAATTTTTTGTTTACCAGTTATACAATATTTGTTTTGATATTTGCCTTGGCTTCAGGTTGATGATTTAAAAAGCTTTTATGTATCAAATTAGAATGTGATATTCTTTTATTCACATTTGCCTTTCTTATTTTAAAATTATTCCAAATATTTAATCTATTCTTCAGCAATAAAGTTTCTAGGCATTTTTATTTCCTAACATTGTATTGTTTGCTCCAGGTTCTCAATTACATTTCTATACACTACTCCCTCTTAGCATAATTAATATGGAAAAATCAACTGGGTCTAGAGCAATGTTAAAAAAATGTATAACAACTGCTGATCTGCTAGTTTTTATATTGTAATGATAAAAAATAGATTATTAAATGATTTCCAAACTTGTATTTGTTTTTAAGTTTAAGTAAGGTTTGATATGTATTTAAATTATAATATATATATAGCCCATTCTTTAGTTGGTTAATCATGGTAGGACCAATACAACTATTGTGTAATTTTGATATTTCCCAAATGTGTTCTATTTTTAATTTCTTGATTCTCAAATAGTTCATTGTAACTGGTTAACAATTCTAAAATTGTTTTTATGTTCATTGTAATTTTTTCTTCCTGCATTTTGAAATTATGAAATGATTGTACCCTGAAGTTACCTGGTATACATTTTTGAGCTTCCATTTTAAAACCAAAATGCTATTTCTAAAACATTTTTATATACTAATCTCAGCATGTGAACTTTAGTCTCCATAAAACTGTATTTAATACTTTCAATATATTTTCTTTAAAAGATGAACATGTTTTTGTTGTGACTTTTCTCATAAGTGTTTGAAGCCACTTAATAATGTGTATTATATATATATATATATATATATATATATATATATATATATATATATATATATATATATATATATATATATATATATATAGGCTATACTATATATTAAAAGATAAAATGAAAAAGTGTGGTAACCTACTTCTAAAAAAAATCAGTTCATCTATCTAGGCCTGCCTAATCAAATGCAAGAAAAAAAAACAAAGGGGAAAAAACCGCTGACCAAGCTTTTCAATAATGTTTATAGCGAGGTTATGTTTTGATGTTACAGCAAACTTTAATATTCAATCTTTTGGCAAATAACGTGATCCGTATCACTGATTCGATTGGACGGACGCACTGCTATATCTCCAAGAGATTTGAAAGATGTTCTCAGTTCAATCCAGCTGGGACACGCTGATACCAGAGCTCTGTTCACCCAATAGGTTGGGTGGAATTGGTTCTCGAACATTCGATAGATCGTTGTCTAATCACAAAGTCCCCTTGAAAGAAATCTTAATCCACCGACTGCAGTGCTGTGACCCGAGTTCCGTTGACCGCATTCAAGGCGACCCTGTAGGGCAGGCCCATCCCTTCCTTCAGCATGTTGACCAGGCTGCCAAGTTCGCTGACCACAGCGTGCAGTGGCGAGATGAGGACAAACAGACTGGCGCAGACGTAGCCCACGGGCCAGGCTACAAAGAGCAGCACCAGGAGCCAGTAGAGGCTGTAGAGGTATCTCATTCTCCACACTTTGAGCTCACGGGTTTTATTCATGCTGCGGGTCACCTGGAAATCAAGCAGAAACAACATCGGTTCAATACATGCGAATTGAAGTGGACGTCAAAAGATGGCGTCAAGCTATTAAGGGGGAGGGGCAGTCGGACTTTTTAGGACTTTTGTGACGAAGGTGAGGGTTGTGGGGTGCAGTAAGAGTGACGTCACACTTGTTAAATTTTTAAACTAAATTTTAAAACATTTTAATTAAAAAAAAAAAGTTGTAAACCATGTTTTAAAAAAAGTTATGTTGCGTTTTCTAAATACTGTAATGAAGATGTTCAATATAGATAATTATTTCACTAATTACTGATTTAATATTTTTCTAAAAGAAAATTCTGTTTTAAAAAATTAAAAAATGGGGGTAGGGGGTTTGATTTTTGTGTGACAATGATAGGTATTGCGATTTGCGTAGTAAATACAGTGTCGACGATGCTTGACATCGTATGGCCAATTGATCAACACAAAGTCTTTATGTTTTCTTGCTTCTTTAATTGATCTATCATACAACATGTATCAGACACAGCTGACTAACAAGGAACGGGCCCCCAAACTTTCCTAGACCAACCTTTTACCCTACCTACTAAATATGGCGTTTTCCCCTTTCGTTTCTACCTTACAGAAACTGTATTCAAATATTTACATTTCATACAAACAAAATGCAACATTAACACATATGAACAAAAGGGAAGCTACTCTAGACCAACACCCTCTATTTAAATAACCTATCTAATGCATTGATAACAGAAAAAGGAGGGGGTGGGGTAAAATTGTCCAAAAAAGTGAGTTCATTAAAGGACGATCCCTAAGGCATTAGCTGTTTTAGATTCATGTGGGCGGGGGATGTCAAAGGCAACACGCACCATGTCAGCCACGTGTCAGCTAGTGCAGATGTGTCTGTGTACATACCATCCCACACACAGCTTGCTGTATCTGTACATGAACCAAGTGTCTACAACATCCCACACACAGCTTGTTGTATCTGTACATGAACCAAGTGTCTACAATATCCCACACACAGGTTGCTGTATGTGTACATGAACCAAGTGTCTACAACATCCCAGACACAGCTTGCTGCATGTGTACGATCCGCCCTTTATAAGTGGTTGACTAATCCATTCCGTGTCTCCCACTCATAGTTGTGGCTGCTCTTTGGCCAACAGTTAATAATAGCGTCCCAGATTTAGCTCGCTTGGAATCAGCGTTAATTGCCCACTCTCGTTCAGGTATGTTCAGACTTTGCCAGCAAAGTTTCTTTCAGACATCTTCTTGAAACTTTTTAGGGGGGGGGGGGGGCACAGGACACTGGTTGAAGTATAGGCTACACTTCTTATATGAATTCTATTTCGTATGGGAAGGGAATGGTAAACGTACTTTTTACATTTTTTAGCCCTTCATGGTAAAAATAAAACAGCTTGAGGCTAATAATGCCATTAGCCTATTTTGTTGTTGGAATGAAGCGTAAAGAAACTCAATCGAGAATCTCGAACACGTGACACATTGGTTACATACCGTTTTGGGGATGTTCTTAGTCATAACTGCTGGATGCTCATCATAATGTTGGAAGGGAAAGTCAGTGTGAGTTACTGTAAATGTCCTTTGTTTGTTTCTACGGGTGTATCAACTGCATTCAGGCTGAATGGAAAGGAAAAATCAGTCTTTTAAAAAAACATCTGTTACCTCCTCCCCTCCACGTCGTCATAAAACTCTGAGCGCTTCTTGTAAATTTTCTTACAACAGTATCTATATGACTGTGAGTAGGTCATGGGTAGTGCTAAATTTTTACTGCGTTTAGGGGGGGGGGGGGATGACGTGCAGACAAGATAACGGTGAAGGGGGGGGGGGGGTTGAAAAATGTGACATCACATCATTTAATAGGCTTACTACTACTGCCGAAATGGCACAGCATGGTTGACAAGTAGAGCATTCGACTACAAACCCGAAAGTTTGGATTCCGAGCTCGAATCTGTAGGACGCCACTGAGTCCAAAAAGCTCTAATGAGTACCTAACTCACGTTGTTAGGGAAAATAATAAAGTCGACTGGGCGTTGTGCTAACAACACTATCCCCTAATGAAACGGATGAACTCTACTTCACTTGTTCCATGACCTATATTAAGGTTCGAAAGGTACTTTACTTCTACTACTAGATCTATAGTATAGTATCGAAGCAGTAATAAAGTGTGAACAAATCGTATTTTATTTGTTTACAATACATTGTGTTTTAGGTTCACTCTTTCAATTGTCTAGCCTTATTCCACAGGTCAGCGCTTAGAAGAAACACAAAGACAATTCGTTTGAAAATCCTAAAAATACGTACAGTATATCGCATGATGGTGTCTCGACTTCATGAGAAGCCAAATAAGAACACAGTGCATGCGGAAACAAAAAGACCATGTTCGCGGGGTTGATGTTAATGTTCGATGACGTCATTGGCTTTTCCTCTACAGCACATTCTGGTGCTGTGTAAACTTTTCCGTGTGCTGTGATTTGTTTGGTGTTCGAAATGGATGCTGTGTTGAAAAGCAGCAAAAGTTGGGTTAATTTTGAAAATGAAAACTGTAGGTCTAAAACTTAACTCACTAGATTCCTTGGATAGCCCGTTTTATGTCACAAAGTGCGCACCGATTGTGCGCAAATGTCGCTGATTTCATTTCTCAGACGGGTTAGATCGTATGTGCACCTCAGCGTCCCCCCCCCCCCCCCACACACAAACACACTTAAAATGATATCTTGGACGCGGGCCTCGATGATGTTTTATAATTCACACTTCCAGTCTTAAACTCGACGGAATAATCAACAACGTACAACATAAATTGAACGTAGATCTACGTCGTTTATCGAATCTTGTCCAGATAAGCCCTGCCAAAAAACGTTAACCCATTCACCCCCCCCCCCCCCCACAAAAAAACAAGAGGGTATGAAACTTGTACCTTTTACTTTTAGATCTATATTTTATTGAAGAGGGTGAAATTGTAATATGTTAATTTGCATGAATAGGTTTGTATTTTGGTACCTTTAAGCTTAACTCCAACCTAAGAGGCGGATAATAAGTTTTTTTTTTTTTTTTTTTTGTTTTTTTTTTGTAGCGTGCGTTTGAATATTCAAATGTCTCACATCAAAAATAGGTCACAGGTGGTGGGGCTTAACGTTGTGCTCGTGTACGTTTTGCATTAGGAGGCGGGGCTTATCTGGACAAGATCCCGTTTAACACCCAAGTCAAAACAAAAGTTTATCAGATTATTTTAAGAACCGAGACAATGCCGTAATAGTAATAGATTTTTTTTTAATTAAGTAGTCTCGCCACATCTTCCTCTTTATCTGGGCTCCATTCGTCTCAACAGATATATTTTATGTTTTGGAATTATCCAGTTGACCACTCCACCGTAAGTCATTTAATCCGGCCGTCTACGATTACAAATATAATAAATATAAAGGTAGGACTAAAAACAAGTTGGAACCCACTTACCTTTATAATTATCTGCATACGTCCGGTGCACCCCCCCCCCCCTTCGCTTTTGTTACCTATTGAATGTGGCTAGACAGGTGTACCAAAGTGTATGACACGTCTGCTGTCGAGAGCCCTGACGAAATCAGCTTTGGCGAGCAGGCTGGCCATGCAAATCTCCGGCATGAACTGGCACAGCTCCAGGAAGTCGGTCAACTCGTAGATATCGCTCTCCGGGAACATGACGGTGAATGGGCGAATGATGACCACAAGTATCGAGCTCATTATGCCAAAGGGCAGGGCCACGAAGAAGAACATCAACAGCCAGAAGGTCGTGTTGAGGGTGGCGTAGATGTACGGGTGGTCAACTATGTCTTGGTCGGTAGTCGTGGACCTCAAGCGGGAGCTCATTATTAATTAGACCAGGGGGGAGAACGTTATTTATCTATGTGCAAGCCTACATGAAAACCCCGCGATTTCTGGCCTTTGTTTACTAACAGTTTTGGATGGTGCAGTAATTTTTTTACTGCGCAAATGATACCAGAAGTGCACACACACACACACACAAAACCATTCTTTCAATCAAAGCCATAGGGTGTTTACAGGTCTAAGACCTAATATTGTTATTTAAAGATACCTCACGTTTGTAACGAAATGAATTTTCGAGAAATTCTACTCCAGTAATTTAAAATTAGATCAATTTATAGTCTCTCATCTAATAGATACCACACATCAGCCCGGGCGGGGGGGGGGGGAGGAGAAAGGGAAGCGTGGACATCATAAGGATTAGGGGAGGGGGGGGAAGGGGGCTCTAAAAAATGGTGAAATTTTTAAACGGCAGTTAGCAAAAAAATAAAAATCAGTAAATAAAATTTACTTATCATAAAAAAAATATCTACGTTTATATTCCGAGTAGTTTTCTTAAAAATAAATATTCTTAAGTTAAACACAAAAATGGGGTCTATTGCGGATTGATTTACCAGAAACGCTGGTTCTCTCCAGTTAATGTTATCCTCATGAAACAGGATAAGAACGGTAATGCAATTTCTAAAGGGGAGATAATTTATTTTTTTTCTTTTCTGAAGGTGATGGAATAAATAACTGAAGTAGGTCTACCTATAATTTTATGTTGTATCTATTCACTAAAATTTAACAGCTTGGCGTGCACAAATTTTATTATCTAAGGTAGTAGGAACAGGAGCTGGTTGATCAGTTTCTTGTGTGAGGTAATAGTGTACCTTTGCCCTTGCAACATTCTTCTATTTAGTTAGGTTGATACAAGTGGCTTACACAGCTGTTTACAGTTTGCTAACTTGTGACAAATAAACTATACATGTTAGGAAAAAAATCTTGCAAGTCAGTAACCATACATCATACATGTGGGGAAAATTTTTTCAAACACCATTAACTTGTTGCAAGTTTTTTTCTCAAAGTAAAGTATCCCTTTCAAACCTGATGGTCTATTGGGCAAGTGAAGTAGAGTTCACTTGTTTCTGTGACCTCGGCATATGAAGAGATAATGTGGTCAGCACTATGCCCAGCCGCCTTTACTTTCCCTAACGTGAGTTAGGTCCATCAGAGTTGGGTGGACTCAGGGACAGTCTACTGACTTGAACCCGGATTCGAACTCGAGACTTACGGGTTAGCAGTCCAGCTCCCTACCGCTAGACTACCCCGTCCAATTTTTTTTTCTCTACATGTATAGTATTCATGTCTCAAGTGTCAACAAAGTGTTACCCAATTTTTAAAACACTAGATATGGCTCACACACAGTCCCTTTTCATTAAACTTGTATTATCTTTATTAACAAATATATACTTCTAGCTAGAAACTACAAAGGAACGGCATGGTCAGATGGTAGAGCTTTCAACAGGTAACTCAAGTCTTGAGTTCAGACTAGGGTCCGTATGATGTCCCAGAATCCACCCAGGACTGATGGGTACCTGACTCACATTAGGGAAAGTAAAGGCGCTTGGGCATTGTGTAAACCACTATCCCTTCATATGCAGAAGTCACCAAAACATGTGAACTCGAATCTACCCCATGGACCATAAGGTTGGAATGGGTACTTTTCTTTTTGGAAACTACACTGCCTAATAGAACAAGGTTTGCTAACTGAAACCACTTGATTCTTTAATTAATTTTAAAAAAAAGATATTTTTTAATTTTTTAGAATTGAAAGTTTTCAAATATAGATGATCAGTTTGTATACAGTTTAGGGACTTGAGACAAAACATGACAGAAATATTATTAAATTATAATTTCTCAGGCAAACATACATCATTTGACTTTAAACATTACATTAACACTGATAAATAATTGTTCAGCACTGTATCTGACTTAAATTTTACCATTAAAATTGAATTATTTACAATTTTAATTTTTTTTGGTCACAAAATACAGATTGATAAATAATTAAAAAAAAAAATAACTCAACCAAGTATGAGCCCAATATCAATGTATTTATGGAGTGAAGTACTAAATGTCATGAATGTTTGACTTCTGATACACAACAGCAAAGGAAAAGAGAAAGAAGAGCCAAAAAAAAAGGGAGAGCAGTGCGGTTAGAGAAACTGATACTGATAAGATTCCACAATATTTACATTAGAATTTTAAAAATGTCATTTTCTCAAGGGTTAATAATAATAAGGGAAATTTCTTGCTAACTTGTACATGCAATATATTTAAATATGTACATATAACTGTAAAAACTAGATGAACTCAGTAGGCTATATTATTTATAAAAACAATATAAAGTTATTTAAATTGTAATAAAAATGTGGATGTTCATGACTAATACTATACCCTATTACCATATTCTATAAATGAAGTATTTATTACATTTGTTTATCACTCATTGTATACATTAATATTTAAAAAATGTGCTTTATATATAATTTTAAAAGCAAAAGTTTTACTGCCACTTTTATGATTAATGTTACAATTATTTTAAATCTAAGCATTTATCCAACACATTTTTAAGGCACTTGAATATCAAAATTATTATAAATAATTATAAAAGAATTTAAAATATTTTTATAACTGTCAAAGTAAGTAGTCAGACAATTGTTTTATTTTAAACTTAAAGTAAAAAACAAATTACAAATATTAAATGTCAGGGAGAAATAATATGATTGACACCCTAGCAAAGAGGATGATTATTTATTGGGAAAAAATAATTAAATTTAAAATAAATTGTTCAACTACACTTTAAAAATTAAAACATTGCTGCCATCATAAAAAATTCTATAACACAAATTGTGTTTCTCACATATTCCACAGTGATTCAGAGGTAAATCAATGTACATGTTATTTACACAACAAATTCCATTCATCTCATGCCATTAGACCCCTTCTTTTCATCATAGCAATGTATTTTTGATTGCTCCGCCTGTCTTGTTCAATTGCTCTCTGAACATCCCTAAAAGAGATTTTAAAATTTTTTTCTTAAAATAAAAAGAAGTGTGAGACTTCAGACCAAACTAATTACAAAAAATAGTGGTACCCCATAGAATGAACATAAAACAGTCTATTAGAACAAAAAGCAATTATAGAAGACAAGTTCTAACCAAGGCCAGCTGAAAAAATAAACGTTTTTTCTCTATATTAGTCAAGCATTAAAGTTAAAGAAAGAAAGAAAAAAAAGTTCAATAATTCCAGCAAGGCTAGTCCACTAAGGCAACCCAGTTCCAACTATGAATTTGACTTACTAATAATTGTATCTTATGAATAATATCTTATATTATGTCCAAAACATCTCACAATCTTTTAATGTCCACAGAAGTCATGCCGATGGTTTGTATTTATTTTTTAGCACATTTATTGCTTATCCCTGATGAATTTAAAAAAAAGTCTAATTCAGGTCTATAGGAAATGATGCTTTGTTAAATGAACGTCTAAACAGAATGTTTCATTTTATGAGATACCACTCTTTCCCTATAAGCAAACTTTAAAAATGATTGAATACCTAAAACATTCAATAAATAGTAACACTAAATATTAGAGTATTAAACAAAAAGACAAAAAAAAGGACATTACTTGGTTGTAGGCTTTTGGTTTGTAGTCTGGGCCAGCTTAGGTGCTTGCCTCACTGATGGTTTAACTCTTGCCACAGGTTTATTAGTGTCCATGGACTGCAGTTTTCCTGTGTGGGGTTTCCATGATAAAGGCTTGGCTAAACTTGCTTTTAGGTCAAATGTTGGCTTCTGAGAAATGGTGGTTGTTGTATTCATGGTGCTCTTGCCAGTGAATTGAAAAGGTGTGGTTGCTGGGGAGATATCAAGTTGCTAGAGTAAAAAAAAATAAAGCATTTCAAGCTAAACATAATTTTAGTCTAATATTCATTTTCATTTGTAAAGGATCAGAGATAATTTAATTTAACTGGGAAAAAATGCATTATACTTTATATCCACTTGACTTATAAAAGTGCATCTAATAAATCAACTTTTTATTTACACTTTAAAAGCAAAATATAAAACATACCAGTAGGCAAAGCTGAAACAGATTTCCTTGCTGACATTACTGGTCCTTGAATCCTTGGTGTTTTGTGTGTGCTTTGGTTTACAGTGCTGTTTAAAGCCCCTTTGAAAGTTACAGCAGAAGGTGTTTTAGCAAAATTGAAGCTCATGTTTTTGGTTGATGTTACAGTGGGCACAAAAGGCTTTGCTTGAGATGCATCAGGTAGAGGCCTGGTTACTGGTTTCACTATTTTAGGCTGGACATGTAGTAAAATAATTGTAAAATTAAAGACAATTAATACAAAACATGCATTTATATGGTCCTAATTGTTATAAATAATTCATTGATAGAATAAAAAAGTTTAAATTTCCATCAACAAATCAGTCTAAGGCAACTTTTTAAAAACAATTGATGAAATAAGAGACACATTTATATAATTGCAAGTGTTAGCAGCAAAAAATATTTTGTTAAAAACCAACATCAAATGTAAAATAAATCATTATAAGGATGAAATAAATTCATTGTCCCTTACTCCTTTCTTTGCAAGTGTCTTGGATCTTAAAGGTTTTCTTCCACTGCCTGTGAGTGTTTCCATTCGTTGCTGCTTCTTTTCAAGGTAAACATCAAGGGAATCAAATTTTGAAAATTCCTTATCATGTATTTTTGTCCAGTTTTTGTTACCTTCAGAATTCAATAATTACAGGTTAATAAAAACTGTGTTAAAGAAAAACTGCAGGAGTGATATAAACATAAAACCATAACTTCCAAAAATAAACTGGTTATACCTGGAGTCACTGGTTTACTATTTTCTACTTTATTCTTATTTGCAAGGAAAGCCACGAATCTTGGAATTTGACTAGGTTGTGAGGGTGAAGCAGTATCTGTACGATAAAAGATTGTAAGGGAAAGTTAATTAATAAGTGATTATATTTTTTGGTAAGAAGCTATTTAAGTTTAGAGAATTTGAGAAAACACAATCTAAAAAAAAAATATTCTAATAAGAAATAAAAATTTCTTACCCTTTTTCTTTTGGACTTTTTTGTCAATTGCTGACATAAGCGTTGCTTTCCGTTCAGCACTAGATAGGTTGGCATCCAAAGAATTAATTATTTCTCTTGTTCCAGGACTGGTAGAAGATCTTGTGCATCTCACTGCTGTCATGTGTGAAAAGGAAGAAGTATTCAAATTAAACTAATATAGAGCAGCATACTGTATGCCATACAAAATATTAATATACAGACAGGATTTGCACTCAAAAGTTTTATGTAAACATAACCAGTCTTAAGCCAACAAACTATAATATATTCAGTCTTTGACATGCACCACAATCTTTCCCCATAGACTTCATAATATTGGCAGATAATACAAATGTGTTTCTACATCAAGACACACTTGGTAGGTTATAAAAAAATAGAGCTCCAAAACAAACAAGACAAAAGGTGTATCAGATACATAACTTCCACTTTATAGCACTATAGTATAAAAAAAAAGAAATAATCAATTTTACAATACTGATAGATGACAATATTAATTCTAACATAAAGTTTGAAAACAAAGTAAATAGAAACATTAATGATTATCTAACCTGTCTCTTTGTTTTCTTTAGCTGATTGAACAGGACTCTCTTTATCATAAGTGTTTCTCCGTATCCTCTTGCTGGAGGGCTCATCTTGTTTGGCCACATTCAACTGTGGTTCAGATATTTTCTGCCTTGTGGTTCTCTTTTCTTCAGCTACTGGTGTGCAATTTGGACTTAAAGTTGGAGTGTCCAGTTCAAATGTTCTTCTACGTTTTCTTGTTGCTTTGTTATTTTGAACCACTTCATCTTTAAAAAAATAATATAAACAATGTGGAACTGAGCAAACTAGGCTATTTGATTTTAAAAAAAAACATATCACATTAATTTACAAAAAGTTTCTAAAGCATAATTATAAAAGGCATTATAAAAGCTCAAACATTAAACTAACAAAGAGTATAATAAGATTTGTATAAAATAATAGCAAATACTACAATGCAGAAAAATAATGGTAAGATTTCAAATGTGTGTGAAGATTACCTTTACTTAGCTGATCTACAGAAGCTCCTTCCACCACTTTGACCTCTGACTCGACTGTAACAGTGTCTAATGCGGGCTATAAAGAAATATAATACACTATTATACACCGGATATTGAGAAATGCTTCTAAGAACAGTTATGTAATTTGGAAATAACTGAAGATCATGGACCTGACTGTTGGAAGCTCTCTTACTTACAAGTGAAGTATAATCAGAAAAGCTAGAAAGCCCTAATTGAACGATGTTGTGTAGAGCATGTTTAACTTGTAAAAGTAATTTTAATTTTAAGTGCTATTTCATTTGTACAGAATTTTTTTCTTTTTTGGTAAATATTCAAAAGTAATAGTTTAATAGTCTAAACAAGTATGGCAAAGGTTGTACCGTGTAAGCATTGTTCATTTAGTTTACATAAACCACAACCTCACCTGTTTGTTTCTACTTGTAGTCAAGTCTTTCTCATTATCTCGTGGTGTGCTATCAGGATCTTCATTTTCTAACTCAAGGTAATGGCTTTTTAAAGCTTTGATAAGTTTGTCAACCTGGGAAGAAAAAAAAAACACATTAAAACAAAACATGTTTATTTAAAATTCGAATATATAGAACCATTTGGTCAATGGATAGTCATTATGTAAAATAAAAATGTAATCTTGAATAGCAATGAATGAAAAATTACTTGAAATTGGAAACTTTTCAATCAATAGGCCTAATTAAGCCTATATAAGTTAAATTGAGTTGTCATCTGGAAGTTAATGAGCCAATATGGTATATCCTCAAAATGTATATCCCCAAAACAGAAGTTATATGAAGACTCTGCCCTTCAGGTAATCCACAAAGAAAAACAAACAAATCCTTTCACAGTGAAAACAGGTATGTATGCTATCGCCAGTGAAAGTTATACTTATAGACTGGATCATGCAAAAGACCACAAGCAACAACACAGTAATCCAGAGGAATTTCACCAGAAGGCTGGAAGACATCTGCCTGCTATCTCAGGGGCAACAACATGCCCAAAACAAACTGAATCAACCATCTGAAGATGCCTCCTAAGTAAGACTAAAATCAATAGCTAAAAAGGAGAAGACATACAAAAAACCAATTCACATAATGGGAAAACATAATCAACAAGGTAGGGGGGAGGTAAGGACATAAAAAGTATCAACAAGGCCTGGGCTGATGTGTCTTCAACTCACTTACTATGCCAGATGGAATTGTACAGCCTTGTCACTCCAGAGTGAGCAACAAGAATCTTCAACACAAATGTAAAATGCAAAAGCAATCTATATATATAATTCTCTTCTGGGAGCCGTTAGAAAACAAGCTGCAACCTCGCCTTACAGTCCCCTCTCTTCCTCTCTATCGCTACCACCCCCACCCCCACATTGTCTGGTGAGCTGTGGTTCACGCTGTTTGCATTTTACAATCATAGAGACGGGTTTGGTGACGGCTATTAGGGGCAGATAAATTAGTTTGAAACGATTTTAAACTTAGAGGAGATAACTAAGAGGAGGCTGCTTTCACGTGGGGGGGGGGGGGTGTTTAGTGTTTTAAAGAAATATTTTCAGTGTCAGCGTTGGTACTGTCGAATTCACAAATTATGAATTACTGAAAATTATGAATTACGTATGTTATGCCGCGGGCCGGCTCGTATTCAATATTGTAATAAAATAGATTCTAGATCTAGAACTAGGCCAGGGCCTATTTAAAAAAAAACTAGATCTACAAGATCTCTAGATCAGGGATCTCTAAACTACCGCACGCGGGCCGGATGCGGCCCGTGAAGTCCTCTCATCCGGCCCGCAGAGATTTTTTTGTCCAAGGAAAAATCGTTTGTTGGTGATGGCTGATGAACTTTGACCAGAAAAATCAAAGACATGCCTGGAAGAAACTGGCCCCCGAACTGAAATTTGATAGTTAATGTGGCCCATGGACTGAAAAGTTTGGGGACCCCTGCTTGATGATAGAATAATTTTATTAATTTAGATCTCAACATTCAACATTAACTTAGTACTACTGACATTCAAAAGTGACTTAGTTCAGTCAGACTTACTCAGACTTGACTTACTGACTTAGGCCTAAGTCTTATTAAACGTCTTATTACTCTTAAAGTGACAGTTAATAATATTAATAACAGTAATAAGTCACTCAAACTCACAGTGTAATTTAAAAATAAAACTTTATAAAACTAACAGCGCTTTAATTTAATCTTACTCTCAAACTTTGCTAAGTTTTGAGTCAAAAGTCAAAGAAACCTCATCATTTCGTCAGTCAGACAGTCACAGAGTCAGAGTAACGTGTGTCGTCAATTTTTAAAACTTCCATGTTTATTGTTTACCTTTTGGTTAGCTTTAATCCCAGCATTTTTGGCTAATTTTTGAAGTTCTGAATATTTGAGTGTCTCTAAATCTTTTACAAACATGATTTCAGATCTAGAATATAGATTAGTCTACAACTCTTTTAAAAACAGTGTCTGTTTATGAGTAAAATATTGTTTTGTTTCCGTTTCGGAAATTAACATGCGACCCGGGCTTTCATTTGAACATTTGAGTAAATGAAGTGTCGAGAATACTGATTGGTTGACACAAGCACTGCATTAAAACTTCGAACTTTATTTTTTAATCATAGACCGATTGAATACTATTAGTAGTACTAGGCACCTTGTATATTTCCTGCTATGCATGCATTGACTTGGAAATAAGCCTAGCCTACACAACAGAATCTATAACCACCACATTGTTAATTTTTTTTAAAACTGACATTACAAAAAAACAAAAAAACAACCTCTGCTTCATGGCCTGGAAACTTATGAAACAGTCCGCCTATTTCAGGAGATATAATAGTTATATTAATGCCGGGTTTCTTACTTTATCGATGTTAACAGATCTAGATTTATATCTAAATAATTATCTATGAGATATTTTGTTGAGCTGGTAATTCATCAGTGGGGGAGGGGGGAATAATGACTCGGGGGTTACTGACCAGAGGATAAAGTCCTTGACCGGAAGGATAATTAATAATAATAAAGTCCTTGAGCGGGGGATAAAGTGCTTGACAGGTATCTAGCCTATATTGCATATATATATATATATATATATATATATATATATATATATATATATATATATATATATATATATATATATATATATATATATATATATATAAACATATATATATATATATATATATATATATATATATATATATATATATATATATATATATACATATATATATATATATATATATATAT